TGACCTCTGAGGGCACTAGGCACATGTATGGTGGTGCACAAAGATACAGGTAGACAAAACAGAAAGTAAATAGAAATAAAAATAGTCACAGGCCATCCTGTCATCTACAAAATGAAAATAAATTAACGTGCAGAGACACAACTGCTTGTTTACAAATCAATAACAAAGGTTTTATTTTTTCTTGGTATATTAGATCTTTATCTTATTTCACTTTCTGTAATTTTAGTTACCCATGGGTCAACTGCTGTCCAAAAATATTAAACAGAAAATATCAGAACCAAACTCAGGACCAGAGAGAGGGATTGGCAGTTAAAAGCACTGGCTACTCTTCCAGTGTACCTTAATCCAATTACCAGCACCCACATGGCAGTTCACAGGCATCTATAACTCCAGTTCCAGAGATCTGACAGCATTTTCTGAACTTTTAGGAACTGCATGCATTTGGTGCACAGACTTGCATTTAGGCACACACAGATACACATAAGAGGTTTTTTTTTTTATTTTAAACAAACCAATTATAAGTTTTGAATGGACACTGTTCTGAGCCAGCCGTGATGAAATGTCACACTGAGCTGCTCTGTCCTGCACAGATGTGAATCATCCTTTGGCCCAGAGTGTGCACACAGTACTCACTGCCACTAAGGTGTCACAGTAGCTGTGTCCAAGAAACACTTACTTTACCTATTGCCTCCCGAGTATAAATCCTAATTGTAGTATATTGTTTTTATGGTGCTACCTTATTATTGCTGTTAATCTCTTACTGTGCCTATTATAAAGTTTATCATAGCTTCAAATGTAAGGGAAAAAAAACAACATTCCCCTTATGCTGGGTTCTACTATGGTTTCTCTGAGAGCATGGGACCATCTCCTTTAAATAAGGTGGAACTGCTTTGTATGAGGTGAAAATATAAGTAGATTAGTAATGCCAGAAAAATTTTAATATTCGGAAATTTCGACTGGTAGTGCAGGCACAACCTTTAACCCCAGAAACCAGGAGGCAGATAGATGTCTGTGAGTGGTCTACAAATTGAGTTCCAGGACAGCTAGGGCTACACAGAGAAACCCTAGCTCAAAAAAATAACAATAAAAAATTAAGTTTTTATTTTAGGAGGTAAAAAAATCAATCAATTGGCAAAACTCAATTTTGTGCAACTCAGGTATTGACTTGCCAAAAAATGAACTGAAAAAAGCTTCCTTAACTGAGAAGAAATAGGGAATGTATTTTTCAGACTTCCCACAGAGACATTAATGGGGTAAGACTGATACTCTCAACCTTACCATAGCCACATGGGGAGTACTCTGGCCTGCTCATTACTAAGTTCTCCTCAGTAAGCATCTGAAGTTCCTGCTTTTCCTACTGTAGTTCCCCTTTAATGCCACATTTCTAAAGAAGGGGACAGTATCTTGCATTCAGTAAGGTAGATGGAAATCACATTATGACAGAATTGGTATCCTATAGGCAATATAAATATTTGTCTTAAAATTAAAGACAAGATGGTCTGGAGAGATGGCTCAGAGGTTAAAAGCACTGGCTGCTCTTCCACAGGTCCTGAGTGCAAGTCCCAGCAACCACATGGTGCCTCATAACCATTTGTAATGAGAGCTGATGCCCTCACCTGGTGTGTATAGGCACACATGCAGGTAGAACACTGTATACATAATAAAGACATATGCATAAATGTCACATTGACTAAGTATTCAGATTAAGGAGACAGAGGGTGGCTCCATGGTTAAAGTGCTGCAGCTTTTCTGGAAGACCTGAGTCTGCTTTCCAAGCCCCTCGACTGGACAGCTCACATTTGTTGGAGGGTATGTGATCACACTGTGCACCCTGAGATTGTGTTATTTACTGGGAATATCTGCTTCTAGTTGTGGCGAGGCTCAGTCCTAGCACACATCTTTAATCTAAGAGCTTTCTGCTTGAATATTATAAACAGGATTAAATAAAGTCAAACTTAGGTCAAGAGGAAGAGCACGAAACCAGTTTACAGGAAGTGAATACAGGACGATTAAGAGAAAACAAAAGAGAGTCAGGAGGATGGGTAGAGAGACACACAGGAAGTAGAAGGAAGTGACATTCAGTTGGAGTTTTTTGTTTGAGATGACATAGGAGAAAAGTGGTTTTTCAGATACAGCAGCAGAGGAGGAAGGCTGGGCACATTCTCTGCCTCTCTGAGGTAGCAGGCTTTCACCCCAGCATCTGGCTAATGAGTCTCTACTGATAAAATCAAACAATTCAGAGTTTGTTAAGAACAACACACATTGAAGAACTAGCTTGTTTGCTTCCATCTTAAGCTTAAAGCCCTTCTTATAGTAAAACCGAACTAGATTCATTTCTAATTATGATTAAACCTCTGTTTTTCAAGGATTGGGGTATGACATACCTGCAACCTTAACTACAAATGGTTCTGTACTGCCTGTTCCAAGAATAACAAGCATGTCTTGTGTCTAAAGTTGTTTATAACCATCTTGCAAACCTAACTTTATTTCAAAAGGCTATGTGATGTGACTACCTTGTTATGACTATGACTACCTTGTTTTGCCCACCTTTGCAACCACATCTTTGTTACAGGAGGGACTGACTTGTTATGCTTATGTTCTGCTCCTGTGATCTAACCTATTTTGTCAGCCAAATCCCCCATTTGGAAACCTTCTACCCCTGATCTATAAAAGCCTTGTTTTGCTCACATCCAATGTAGAACTCTCCAACCCCTCCTTAAGGGGAGGCAGCCTGTGTACATGAACAAAAAGCTTACTGCAATTTATTGCTTGCTTTAATTGATTTGGTCATTATGATTTTGGTGGGTGGTCTTTCTCCTTCTATCTTTGGGATTAATACCATCTGCCTGTAACTCCATATCCAGGGTGTCAGATGACCTCTTCTGGCCTCTATGGCCATTCTCACACATGACATACATTCACACAGACACACATAAAAGTAAATCTTTGGTTTTCAAATTAAACATAGGACACAAAGTATCTCTCCTTCAGCAGACTGACTTCCTCAGAGCATGTACAATTGATAGGAATTAGTAGAGAACCTAAGGACAACAGTATTAAAAGAGAAGGCTGTAGGGAGGTAGCACACACCTTTAATTCCAGCACTTGGGAGACAGAGGCAAGCAGATACTTGTGAGTTTGAGCCAATATGGACTATAGAGTGAGTTCTAGGACAGCCAGGATGGTTACATAGAGAACCCTGCACACACACACACACACACACACACACACACACACACCATATTCTCCCTCTTAAAAAATTTGGACTGTGTGTTAGATGATGCTTATAATCACAGCTATTCCCACTCCTTGAGGCAGGGAGATTGTAAACTTGAATCCTGTAGGGGCTGTATGGTGAATTCAAGACTTCATGAAACCCAGAAAAAAAAAAGGGGGGTCAGGTGATGTTACTGGTGCATGCCTTTAATCTATAATCCCATTCATTGCTCATGAGGCAGAGGCAGGTGGATCTCTGTGAGCTGGACCAGGGCAGCCTGGTCTACAGACCAAGTTCCTGGAAATCCAGGGCTACACTGAAAAACTCTGTGGATGGAAGGGGGTAGGGGGACTTAAACTAACAGGACGGGACAGACAGATGGACGGATGTTTAGGGGGAACAACACAACACAAGGTCAACACCCTGGCTGCTTTGAGCAGGTGGGTGGTTGCCTTGTCTACTAGTTTTTTTCTGTTGGGAACAAAGCCTTTCTTCTCTCTCATTGCTCCTCTGGAATATATATATATATATATATATATATATATATATATATATATATTCCCTTAAATAATCTACAACAAAGCCTATCATTATAGTATTTTTCATCTTTTTGTTTCTCAGACAGGTCTTACTACATAGCCCAGGCTGGCTTCCAATTACACATGTGTGCCTGAACGTCATGAGGCATTTACTTTGTCTTTGCATTAACTACCTCAAAGGGAAAAAGTGTATGCATTTGATATTTCCAGCAGTAGGCAGGATGCCTAACATGGTAGACATACAGAGTCCTAGAATTAGATGGTCTATTGAGGGCTTACATTACTCTATACCAATCCTTGTAGTCTGAGCTGAGAAAAAACAGATGGGTTATATGGGTGTTCCACCAATGCAATACGAGACAAAGATGTGCAGCAGAAGCAACAGGGTGTTTTTTGTTTGTTTGTTTTTTAACAGAGTCTCACATTTCATTGGCTTACTATAAACTTGCAACCTGCTTCTACTTCCCAAATTCTGTATGACCTACCACAATCTCTCTCTCTCTTCTGCTTCTCCCCTCCCCATTTGACACAGGATTACACTCTAGCCCATACTAGCCTGGCATTCACAGCAATCCTCCTGCCTCATCCTCCTAAGCAGTATTATATTAAAGGCATGAGACACACCTCCCTGACCTCCAACACACCCACAATGACTGGCCACAAAGCTAATGACAAGAGACACGCACATAGAAAATCTGAATAATCTGAATTTCTCCGACTGTCTAGAATGCTGTAAAATTCTGGCTCACATGTAACCTGTTTCTCGAACCAGGAACCAATTTCTAACGACAATTAGAAGTCATTAGGACTCTATGGTAACGACTGTGTGCACTCCTATGTAGCTGCAGTCACCGAATTCCAACCTGGGGGTGGGGCTCAAGGCCAAGATTCAGCTCGCGCGGGGTCACCACCTCACGGCCGAACGCAAGAGCCCCCTAGCCCGCTCCGCACCCGGAGTTCCTCCTCCCTTTCCCTTCCTACCCCACCCCGCCCCTCTCCTCCCTCTCCCTCCCCGCTCCCCTTCCCCGCCTTTCTTCCCCGGGCAATCTACAAACTCAACTCCAGCCTCTGGCCTCCTTCCCCAACGTCCAACCCCCCTCAACTGCTTCCTCTTTCCGTCCCCGAAACGGCGTCTTCCAGGACCCAGCAGGACGAGCCGGAAGTGCGTCATGATACGGCGCCCAGCTCTTCGTTTGGCGCGCGCGTCCCAGATAGCGCTTTTGGACTCTCTTGGCTACTCTCTCAGATCTCCTCGGGTTTGGAGTGTTTTTATAGCCTGGTGTCCGCGATTGCCGACATGCCATCGTCTGTGCTGGGCTCTATGATGGTGGCCTCTACGTCGTCGGCCGCCTCCCTGCAGGAAGCTTTGGAAAATGCGGGGAGGCTTATCGACCGACAGTTGCAAGAAGACCGCATGTACCCGGACCTTTCTGAGCTGCTCATGGTGTCCGCCCCAAGTGAGTGAATCGGTCCACTGGCGCCCTGTTTCTCCGCCTAAGAGATTCTAGTCTGATTCTCTTGTCTTAGTCCTTATCTCTACTTAGTGCCTGCGAGGACATTATCAGAGATTAGGGCTCGGCTTCCTAAATTTTTGAAGAAGCAAACACCTTAACAGTTTTTCTGTTTTTCTTGTCTAAATTGTGTTCATTGTAGATACCAGATTCCATTTTTGTACATCTCTTGTATCAGTGATGAGACAGTAAGAAAAGCAAACGAGTTAATTTGGAAATCTACAATGTTCTCCCAGAGTCATATCTTATGTGTACAAATTTATAAATGCTGGGACTAACCAGTAAAGAAATAATAAGAGTCAGACTGCTGACTGACAGGGACGGTAGAACAAAGTATATCTGTCAACAAACGAGATAACTGGAAAGTATTTGTCTAAACTTTAATTGTAACTAGCTAAATGTTTGTGGAATTGCATTAGTTGCTACAAAGTGACTCTTGGGACGTGAAAGTTGGAGAAAAGTAGATATTCGTTAAGGTGCAGATAAGACTTGTGAGCAAAAAAAAAAAAAAGTACTTTAAGCAGGGTAATTGGTGTCTAGCAATTTATAAAAATCTTTTGAGAGATTTCTAATCAGAAATTTTAGAAGCAAAGGTAGCCTTTGTACTTGACAGCTACTAGCAGATGGGCTTGCCTTTTAGAGTGTATTTGGCCTATTAGTCACAGTCATCTTAATATGTTTGAGAACATCTTAAGTTTGAAAACAAGATATAGTGTCATGCCTTCTGATACTCTTAAAATGTGCTCTGTTTACATATACTTCCTCCTCACACTAATCCTTTTCCCTTCTAGCATCTCCCCCCCCCCCCTTAACAGACTCTTCCCAAATTCTTTCTGTATAGCCCTGGCTGTCTTAGAACTCCACTCTGTAGACCAGGCTGGCCTCGAACTCAGAGATTTGTCTGCCTCAGATCAAAGGCATGCCACCACCTTCCAAACCTTCCCAAACTCTCAGTGAAAGTTTCTAGTTCAATTCAGGCATGGTGCTACACATCTGTAATCTCAGCACTTAGAAGGCAGAGGCAGGAAGATCTCATCTGTGCATTCTATTTTAGACTGGGAGGTGGTGGTGCACACCTTTAACCCCAGTATTCTGTGAGTTGGAGGGCAGCCTGGTGCACAGAGCAAGTTCAAGGACCTAAGACAACCAGGGTGGTTACACAGAGAAAGCCTGCCTCAAAACAAAAACAAAACTGTATTTTATGATTAAAAGTTACAAAAACAAAACAAAAACGGAAAACAAAACTCCCAGTGAAGGAGTGAGCAGTTACAAGAATGAACCATATTGCAGGAGGTATGACCATACCCATGATTGTTGGAGCACGGTAATCAGTATTTAATGTCAGTTCCCCCCAAATCTGTGTGTTCTAAACTAGAGCCTGATAAGGTGCCTAGAATTATTAGGTTGTCAGTTAGGTCTAGTATTCAGGGCCTTGAAGTACAAGTCAAGCAAACAGCCCACTCCTGCCCCTAGGCACTGAGACATAGACAAGAGAAAGGAAACACAATAAGAATTCTTCATTGAGCTGGGCAGTGATGGTGCACATTTTGATCCCAGCACTTGGGAGACAGAGGCAGGTGAATCTCTGTGAGTTCGAGGTCAGCCTGGTCTACAGAGTGAGTGCCAGGACAGGTTTCAAATGCTACACAGAGAAACCCTGTCTTGGAGGAAAAAAATGAACTCTTTATTGAGAACAGTCTATGTACCCACCAACTCCAAGTCATATATTGCATATTTGGTGCTATTTGTATGAGATGTTTGTCTGGAGGAGGAGAAATTCAAAGGGAAAAAGAACGGATTGCTTGGGTTCTACCTTGTTTTGGTTTTAGAACAGGATGTAATGTAACTAGTCGAGGGTAACCTTGAACTCCCGACCCTCTTGCCTTCACCTCCCCTCCCAAGTGCTAGGAATACAGACCTATGCCATCATGCCTCATTTTTTGCTGAGCTAGGGGTTTCAGCTAGGCAAGAATTGTGCGAACTGAGCTATATACCCTATCTTGGTAGCCTTGAAACCAGTAAGTGTCCCATCTTTTTAACAATGGGATTTCTCAGTTCCACTTTCTAGCAGGTCGGAACACCTTAATTTCAGAGATATCTTAAGCACTAGTGTGGGGTGGGGTGGAGGGAGCATGAATTGCTTATCTATTCTAGTTGATGAGTGGTACCTTAGTATTGTATATAAATGCTTTGTTTTATTTTTTTGTAGACAGTCCTACTGTTTCTGGAATGTCTGATATGGACTATCCTCTGCAAGGACCAGGTTTGCTGTCAGTACCCAGCCTTCCAGAGATCAGCACTATCCGAAGAGTTCCCCTCCCACCTGAGCTGGTTGAACAGTTTGGACGTATCCTAGTGTTTGTTTTTGTTAGTTATTTTATAATATTAGATTAGTGTTCTCATCATTATAACTCCTCCTGTTCTATGTTTACAGTGTCTATGAGTTATTTAAGAGTTTTCAGAGCCACAGCTAACGCTCAGTGGTAGAACATTTGTCTAGTATGCCTGAGGCCCCGCTTTTCAATCCTCATTACCCACCTCACCCAAAATGTTCAGTCTTGGGTGCTGGCGTATATCTGTAATGCCAGTATCAGGAGGTTGAGGCACTCTTACTTCAAAAAAGAGTGCCTGGGTAGTTTGCTTCCTATTATAGAATTGATAAGCATGGGTCAGGCATGGTGGCACACACCTTTAAACCCAGCACTTCAGAGGAGTCAGAAGCAGACTGATTTTTTTTTTTTTTTTTTTTTTTTTTTGAGTCCAAGACCAGCATGGTTTACACTAGTGAGTCCCAGAACAGATAGTGAGATCCGGTCTCAAAGAACGGAGGAAGCAAACATGGTAATACAGTGCCTATAACCCCAGCAGTTGTGAAGATAAGCAATTCCCAGGCCAGCTTGAGCTAACGGTGAGACTGTCTCAAGAAAAGAGGAGCAAGTGTTATGGACTAGAAATAATTCAGTGGTAAAGAGTAGTACTGTCTGCTCTTGCAGAGAATCCAGATTAGATTCCCAGCACCCACTTGTTGGCTCACAACTATCTTAACTACAGTTCCAGGGACTCCAAGGCCCTCTTCTGGCCTCCATGGGCACCAGGCACACACATGGTACACAGATATATATCAGCATAAAACACAAGCACATAATAAAATCATTGAAAGAGAAAAGAGAGAAGGAATGTGGAAAGGAGCCTCATGGGTGCCAGGCAGGTGCTGAATCACCAAGTGATACGTATGCCAAGACATTTTTTTAATCATGGGTTTTAAGTCAAAAGCTACTGAGGGAATTGAGAAAACAATAATTGGAGTGTTTGTACCTTACCTTCATGCTTCCTCAGATATGCAGTGTAACTGCATGATGGGTGTTTTTCCTCCTATCAGCAGAGCTTGGCTTACAATTGACAGTGACATATTCATGTGGAACTATGAAGATGGGTATGTATGGAAGACTGGCTTGGAATTCTCAACCTTTATTGCTTGTTGCAGCTCATGTCCTACTCATCAGAAGCTGTCTGATTTTACCTTTTGTTTATCTTGTTTGGGTCATTCTTTCCCAATATGCATGCTAGTCATCTGGGGACATTGAAATGTGGATTTGGGAGATGACCCAGTGGCTAAAGTGCTTGCTATGCAAGCAAGCAAGCAAGCAAGCCCAAGCTCAGATCCTTAACACTCACATAAAGGCCAGGCATGACAGTACACATGTAAGCTCCACACTTGATGGGTAGAGGCAGGCAAATGCTGGGGTCTTACTAGCTAGCTGGTCTAGCTGAAACAGTGAACTCCAGGTTCAGTGAGAGAAATTGTCTCAAAAAATAAGGTAAAGAGTGTAAGAAGACAGCCAACATTCAATAACCCCTGGCTTCTATACATGCACGCACACAGCATACCTGTGCACACATACAAATTTGTTAAACAATGTTCTTGGTCTAAGTACTGACTCAGCCTACTCATGGCAAGCACATTACCATGGAGCTACATTCTCCAACCAAAATACTGCTCTTGTTTGCTGCTGTTATTTGTTAGTTGGTTTGCTTGTTTAAAGTTCTGGGGTTAAACCTAGTTAGTGTCTCATGCATGTTAGGCAAGTGTTCTCTCATTGAATTATATCCCCACCTTCCAAAGGACTTCTTAAGAAGCAAGGCATAAATTCTAACTTGTAGTCTGTAAAAAAGTTTATACATTGGTATTTTTGAGCTGTTATTTGGCTTTTTTGTTTTTTGATTATATTTTATTTCTTTTGTGTAAATGTGGGGGGAGGATCATGGGGTTAGGTGCGTGGGTATGTGTATACCGCAGTTTATTTATGTGTAGTAGTCTGAAGACAACTTGCAGGAGTCAATTCTCTTCCTGTCATATGGACCCTGGTGGTGGTCCCTTATTTGACATTTTAAAAAGACTCCTTTTCCTTACATTTCTATGGACTAGGAAGCTCTGAATTATTGAAAATAATTTGGTTTTTTCATGGTTTTTGACTTTATAGGTTAAATATGTAGAATATATAAAATCCAAAGTTGGTGTTTCTTAAGTAGAGCAGTGTATTGATCTGGTTAATTTTCTTGGTCTTTACAGGTAGATCTTGTGTTACTCCTATTTTATAGTTCATTCATTCAGTTATCTATTTAAGAAAGGAATTGTCATAGAAGTACTGTGTAGTTAAGCTGTTACTCTTCCATTGAATACTAATGCCCTTTTAGGAACATGCATGTGTACATGAACACATATTCAAAACTATTTCATCAAAATTATACCATGTGACAACTTACATTCTATAGAAAGATACTGTATTTAACTAGACATTTGCTTGGGTGTTTTAGTCATAATAGCAGTGGTCTGTGATTGTGATTGTTACAAAAGTCTTTGCTTTAGTGACATTTTTACTTTTCTATTCAAATCTAATACTCATTTAACAAATAATTATCTTGAGACATGAATCTACCTCCTCTTTGGCTAGGGTTCAGTGGGTAGACCTTTATTGTGGCAAGAGTTGACTTTTTTCCAAGTCAAAAGTTACACTGAATTTGGTTTTGTTGCTGTAATGACCTCAATAGCATTGGTTTCTGAATTCATTTTTAGTTTCCCTGCATTAGAATGCAGATTAGACACTGGAGAATTTTTCCTATTCTGTTCTTATCATTAAATTTTTCGAGTTACTTCCCAGAGAGTCATCTCCACGCTACTGCCCCTCTGGGCAGATTGGTGGTATTTGATACCATTGCTTGCACCTTGAACAGTTTCTCTAGCTTATCCATAGAAAGATCTAGTGCCTGAGTCTTAGTTCTTCACTAGTTTTGTTTATTGTTTTTTGTCTATTCTATATCTAAATTTCTGCAGCTAATAAAGAGCATTGTAAATAAGATTTAATATATGTATGTATATAAACATGTTTTCTTTACTTTGAGCAGAGGTGACCTTGCCTATTTTGATGGACTCAGTGAGACAATTCTTGCTGTGGGGCTTGTGAAACCAAAAGCTGGTAAGAGAAAACTATCAGGATGAGATTATGACTGTATATATAGTCTCCAGATGTTTAAGAACTCAAAAAAAAAAAAAAAAAAAAAAAAACCCTCCTACTCTTCTTTATAATGCCTGGCAGTGATCACTATACTTTTATCTATATGATTGACTTTTTACCTATAGTGTTTGAGTATTTGTTATTTTGGGTCCAGCTTGCTTCACTTAATATGTATTAGTCTTCATGGATCATGCATGCTGGGTATGTCTGAATTTCCTTCCCTTTCAGCCTGGTGTGGCTGCACATGCCTGTAATCCCAACACTGGGGAGGGAAGGGGAGGGGGAGGACCAGTTCAAGGTCATCTTCAGTTAAATCACTGGATTGAACCTAATTTGGCTACCTCAAATGTTGTCCCAATAATTTCCTTCTTGTGTGTGGCTAAATAATGTGTACACTGCATGTGTGTGCTACACTTTTTAAATGACACTAACTGTTGAACCAATTATTTCCTGTTAGTTCTTTTCTACTGTTTATGTACTTTAATATTGTAACATAGTAATATTTAGTCATCATAATTTGCTGACCCAGAATCAGACTTTTGCTGTCTAGTTAGGAACTCACTTTAATAGTACAGCCATATTTTATTCTTGCCTAAATGCTGTGTGATTTTTTCAGAAGATAATGTACTTTTGTCTGCTTTGCCATAGGCATCTTTCAACCTCATGTACGACACCTGTTGGTTTTGGCAACTCCTGTGGATATAGTAATTCTTGGACTGAGCTATGCTAATGTACAGACAGGTATGGTAACTCACTCATACGCTGTATTTTTAAAAATGATAGTGTGTTGAAATGAGTATTAACAATGATTTTTAGTACTAAATCCTTACATGAGTTTGAGCTTGCTTTTTCTTGATATTTCGCTGTGTGATAATATGTGTACTATAGGTGCAGTTTAAGAGGCTTGTGCATTCCTGTGGGCTGCTAGGAATTGAGTTCAGGATCTTACATATGGAATACAAGCACTTAAGTACTAAACCACATCCCTAGCCACTGTGTTAAACCATTTTGTTTTGTTTAAGATTATTGTATGTTTTTTGGGGGGCAGGGTTTTACTCTGTAGCCCTGGCTGTCCTGGAACTCCTCTGTAGACCAGGCTCACCTTGAACTCAACAATGATCTGCCTGGTTCTGCCTCCCGAGTGCTGGGATTAAAGGTGTGCACCACCATAACCAAGCAAGGTTTATTTTTATTTAATGTGTATGAATGTTTTGCCTTAATGTATATATGTGGATTGTGTGTTTGCCTGGAGCCTAAGGATGCCAGATGAGCCCCTAGAACTTAAGTTACAGACAGATGTTTGTGACTGACCATGTGGGTGCTAAGAACTGAACTCAGATTCTCTGCAAGAGCATCAAGTGCTCTTTAACCCAAGTCTGAGCCATTTCTCCAGCCCCTCAAACTTTTATGATAACTTTATAAAGTATGTTGTAGATATTTGGGCTATTTTAGCAGGAAATTGGTAAAGTTACCAGTTCTCAAGATAATGTGAGGATCATTTTAAACTTTGAAAAAGCTAAGAAACTGTTCTCTGGTTTTTCTTGTTGCAAACTTACAGGTTCTGGCAATCTTAATGACAGTATGTGTGGTGGAATGCAGCTGCTTCCAGATCCTTTATATTCTCTTCCAACGGATAACACTTACCTTTTAACAATCACTTCCACTGATAATGGTAGAATATTTTTGGCTGGAAAGGATGGATGTTTATATGAAGTAGCATACCAAGTAAGCCTTAACATTTATACATTTGGTTTTATTTCTATCTCTGGCAAAGTAAAAGAAAAGCTTTTGTTTTAATTTTCTAATTGTATGATATATATGTTAAGGAAAATATTCAAGCATAAACTGTAGTCTTTCATCACTTCTCCATACCCACAAGACCCAGTCCTCCTAGGTAAAAACCTTCTTTCTTGAGGCAAAAGTCAGTATTCTGGAACTAGAGCTCAGAGCTTTACAAGTGTTAGACAAGCACTGTGCCTGTGAATTACACCACAACTTTCCTACTGTGGTTATCTGTTTGTGTATGGCTTTAAAGCAATGCTTCTCAACCTATGGATCACAGCCCCCATGGGGTACGCTTATCAGATATTTATAGTACAATCCACAACAGTAGCAAAACTGCAATTATGAAGTAGCAGCAAATATAATTTTATGGGTGGGATCACCACAACATGAACTATATTAAAGGGTCACAGCATTAGGAACGTTGAGAACCACTGTTTTAAAGCATAATACTTATGTTGGTATATGTATATTTATATACACATGAATATCTGTTTACATGTGTTTGTGTGTATGTAAAATCAAACAGTTCATGTCTGTAAATGTTTGTTCTTAGTTATTTTCACAATTGGCTTTTCATTGAATAATATGTCTTGAAAGTAATATGTTGTATTTAGTAGATATTTTTAATTATAGAATAATTGGTAGTTAATTTTGAAGTAAGTATATTTCATTGAATTTACAATCGCTGGTGATTCATGGAGACATGGAGAGTCTTTAATAAGCATGGATACAGTCATTGTGTTTTTTGGAAAACAAGTCTTGTATTGCTTTTCTCCAAGGCGGAAGCAGGCTGGTTCAGTCAAAGATGTAGGAAGATAAACCACTCAAAGAGCTCACTTTCCTTCCTTGTCCCTTCCTTGCTGCAGTTCACATTCTCAGAAGATGGTAAGTAGGAAACAAATTGGGCAAATAAAACAAAATTTTTGATACTTTCAGGCTTAACATTTTCTTCAGAAATTTGCATTTTTCGTTAAAAATACTTTTTATATACTTAAATACTGCATTTGATATATGTCTGTGAGGTGTCTCAGAGAGTAGAGACATAACAAAGGCAAATTTTAATCTTCAGTTTATTATATTCTGCATATTTAGGATCATTTCTGGACTGTGTGTCCAAAATACCTTTCCTACTTAAACAAAAAGATGTGTGTGTGTGGTCTGTCTGTATCTGCATACATGCACAAGTAAGAGAGACAGATTTCATTTGTGTGATAAGTGGTCTAGAACAAAGTCCCAGTTCAAATTTATATCTCTCAGTTGTTTGGCTTTTCTAGACAGGGTTTCTCCGTGTAGCTCTGGCTTTCCTAGAAACAAGTCTGTCCTCGAACTCAGAAATCCACCTGCCTCTGCCTCCCAAGTGCTGGGATTAAAGGCATGTTCCGCTACCACCCTGCCCTGAAAACAAAATTTTAAAAATTAAAAATTCATTTAGAAGAAAGAATGAGCTGTTTTTGTTTTAAAACAAAAGTTTTGCTATATAGCACAGCTGGCTTGGTAACTCTTACTGTATTTCTTTCTCTTTTAGTTTTCTGGGACAGGGTTTCTTGGGTAGCCTTGGCTGTCCTGGATCTACTTCTATAGACCAGGCTGACCTCAAACTCACAGAGATCTGCCTGCCTCTGCCTTCAGAGTGCTAGGATTAAAGGTGTATACTACCACTGCCCATGTTTCATCTATTTCTCAAATTCTTAAGCAGTCCTTGTGCCATAGCCTCCTACCAGCTAGGAGTACTGGAGAGCAGCATCTAGTACCTTGCCTGAAGCTGTGTGCTCCCCTTGATAGTGTCAGTATTTGACATCTTTGTCTGAGCTAACATTCCCTGGCTTGGTTCTTACTTTAACAAACAAGGAAGAGAGTAGAAAGCCCCTGAATGCAAATACTAAGGCATCAGTTTTAATTTGTTATGAAAGGACCCTATGTTCAATTGATAACCCTTGGGGTTTGGTTTTCTTCTGTTTTGCTTTTAGATCCTATTGTTCAAATTGAAATTGATAATTCCAGAAATATTTTGTATACAAGGTCGGAGAAAGGAGTAATACAGGTAAATATGCATATTTGCTACCATTAAAAGTAAATTTTTCAACAAAATTACTGTGTGTGTGTGTGTGTGTGTGTGTGTATGTGTGTACGTACACGTGTACATATGCACACCTGTGTGACACAGGATAACGTTAAGAGCTAGTTCTCTCTTTCTGTCATGGTATCCAGAGCTGGAACTCAAGTTGTTGGGACTGGTAGTGGCCAGTGCCTTTAGCCAGGGAATTATCTTACCTGCTGACATTCTTCTTTTGCTCGATTTTGTTTTATTTGTTTTTCAAGACAGGGTTTCTCTGTAGCCCTGGCTGTCCTGGAACTTACTCTGTAGATCAGGATGGCCTTCACCTACCAAGTGCTAGGATTAAAGACATGTATCATCAGCCCCGGCACATCTCTGTTTATGAAGATTTAGTCACTCAAACTTCCCATGTTCTGTGAATTTTGTTGTTTGAGACAAATTCTCGTGCAGTTTAGATTGGCCTTAAGCTTGCTTTGTGGTCAAGGATGATCTTGAAGTCCGCTCCTGCCTCTACCTCCAGTGTCTGTTATTACTGGTGTATGTCACCATGCCTGGCTTCAACTGTGCTTTTTCTTTTTCTTTTTTAAATTTATTTATTATATAAACAGTATTCTGCCAGCATGTATGGATGGCTACGTGCCAGAAGAGGGCATCAGATCTCAGATCTCATACATGATTATGAGCTACCATATGGTTGCTGGGAATTGGACTCAGGACCTCTAGAAAAGCAGCTCTTAACCTCTGAGCCTTCTCTCTAGCCCCCAACTGTGTGCTTATTCCCTCCCTTCTTCCTTCGCTCCCTCCTTCCTTCCTTTCATTCGTTTTTGAGACAGGGTTTCTCTGTGTAGCTTTGGAGCCTGTCCTGGAACTCGCTCTGTAGACCAGGCTGGCCTCGAACTCTGCCTCCCATGTGCTGGGATTAAAGGCATGGACCACCACCACCCGACCCAACTGTGCTTTTTCTAATAAACACCTCAGTTTCTTAGGCTATTTTGTGATTGTTTGTTTGACTTGGTGAGATTTCAAACATCCTAATGTTTTCTTGTGTGGTAAGTATCATTTCATTCTTAAAAAGAATAAGTCAACTTTAGTATAATATATATGATACATAATTGTGTGTAAAGGAGCACTTTTTGTTCACAGGTTTACGATTTGGGCCACGATGGACAGGGGATGAGTAGAGTTGCCTCAGTTTCACAGAATGCCATTGTCTCTGCTGCTGGGAACATTGCTAGGTACTTTACTATTAATATTTTATTTGCAGATATGATTATACTATTTATATATGGTATATGTATGTAAGTGCATATGCTTTATACAGCATGTATACATAGCACATTTATGTTACATATACTATAAAATTAAGCCTGCAAACATCTCTGAAAGTCGAATGGTTAAGGAACATCACATTAAATTGTGTTTGAAACCTTGTTATAAACTGTTCTCGTATTGGTTTGAAAATACGGTGATATGTCTTATTGAGTGAAGTATAGCTTGTTGTATTTTTTTCAAAGGTGCTGAGACTCAAACCCAAGGGTCTCCCACAGACTAAGCAAGCATTCTACCACTTAGCTGGACCTCCATCCAGCCTTTTTCCTTGGAACTTTAATCTCAAGTTCTTTGTTGCGAACACTAGTTGTTACAGCAAAGCTAAACTAGGTCAGCCCCTCTCCCCTTGAAGTGGCCCTACATGATGTAAGGCAGAATTTCATAGCTTTGTATCCCATTAATTCTTGATAAAAACAGAAACTAAGTGATATAATGGCTTTCTTTGGCTTCTTAAAGAGCTAAAACCCAACTTGGAATCTAAGGACTTCTGTATTGGACTCTGAACTGATTGTTGCATACTTGCCAAACTCCTTAGTGATCTGTAGACATTCTCCCTTTATAATAGGGTTGTCAACTTTTCAGTTTAGATTATCTGTAAACTTTGATAATTACAATAATCTAATTGCATAATGAAAATCTTCAGCTTTGTTTTCCTGCTTATTAATTATAAAAATGTGTATTCTGAGTGGAAGCAATTAGAAAGACAGGATTCCTTTTTCTTTATCTTCTGGAAAGCTTACCAAATCTATAAGAAAGAAAACAGGGTGTTAAAAATCATACGGCTGAAGCAGTAGGATTTTAACTTTGAAGCTTCCTGGGATACACAGGGAAACTCTGCCTCAAAACTATTAAATTGCAAAAGAACCTAACTATATACTTAACCCAAACAGACCAATTATGATTTGGCGTATCTATCTAAATTCCCCAGTTGCTAACATTTGTCCCTTGCTTAACCTTCTTCTTGATTAAGCAAGGCATTTGGAAGTGAAGTGCAGGTAGCCTGTCTTTCTGCTTCCATTTTCTTTTAAATGCAGTGGTCACACTGCAGGAAATTAGCAGGTGGACATGGTGGAACACTCAGAAGGCATAGGCAGGTGGATTTCTGTGAGGCATAGGCCAGCCAGGACTACATAGTAAGAGCATGTCTCAAAAATAAATAAACAAACATGGAAGTACATACTTACATAGTGAACCTTTAATTTCCCAGTAGTTCTAAAATTTTGACTCTGTTTCTTTTATTGTTTTTCACTTACATTCTGTTTCGCCTGATAAAGTATGGCTCCTTGTCTCTCTTTTCTTAAAATATAGAAAACTTTATGAATTTTCATGTCATCCTTGTACAGCGGCTGTGTGATTCTCATCTTTCCAATTTGAGTAAATAGGCTGCTAAAGCCAGCACAGCTCTCACAGTTTTTACCTCTTTTTTTCTTCCTTTCCTAATTCTACCATTATAATTTATGAATTGTATTGGTCATTAGTCCTTTTAATACAGAACATTGTTTTCATTCAGTGCCTTTTATTTTTAATAATGTTGACATTTGGGAGGAAGGTACAGAAATTATTTATAATCTTTTTTTTTTTTTTTTTTTTTTTTTTGAAGCAAAAGTTTGATTGCCAGGATGACCTTGTATTTCTAACCTTCCCATCTGCTTACCACCACACCCAGCTCTCATCCCTTTTTCTAAGATACAGGTTACTAAAACTAATTAAGTTGTTGTATCTGGAGGTGCTTCATGTTGGTTTCCCCATTATTTATCTCCTAATGCCAGAGGTCTGTTTTTTCCCTCTTAATCAGTAGTGATCCCTATAATAGTAATTTGATTCTTGGAGAACACTAGAGTTCTTTGGGTTTATTTAGCCTTTTTAAATGGTCTTTTCAATAGTTTGAGAAAAGGGGGCTAGTTTTAACTCTGCACATACTATAAAGTCTTGCTACTTCCTACTGTTGCTATCTTACTTTCTAAAGAATGTATTCATTTAATGAGACAGGGCCCTCTATTGTATCTCTGGCTGTCCTGGAACTAAGTACATAGACCAGGCTGGCCTCAAACTCAAAGAGATCCAATCATGTCTGGCTTCCCAGTACTGTAATTAAAGGCCTGCACCACCATACCAGTCTCAGACTTGACTTTCTAAATCAGAGATACATTTTGGTTTTGTTTCTTACAGGACTATTGATCGTTCCGTTTTTAAGCCAATTGTTCAGATAGCAGTGATTGAAAATTCTGAATCACTGGACTGTCAGTTACTGGCTGTCACTCATGCAGGTATGTTTGTGTCTGTATCTGCCACTGCTGTTAAAAATTTTGATGATACTTGGTTTGGAAACTTAAGATTAGAAATGCTTTCACTCCTTCATAGTTATTAAGCTATGTTGAGAATTCATAAAATGAGGATTTTTTTTTTAAATGGGAGATACTATGTCTCTACTCTTATTGTGATATATTACCAGACCTATAAAGTGTCTTGTTTTTAGTGACAGATCCCTGAGAATCATCCCTTGACTTGTCATAAGCTCTTGCTATAGAAATGTATTGTCATTGCTCCATTCAGTGACATTTTCTAGAAAATTGTTTAACTTGCTAATTTGTAATTTTAGGCCAGTGAGGAAAGTGATGTGTGTTTTTCAGAAGTCTGTGAAAGTTCTTCACTACACGTGCGCTTCAGGTCCTTACTTTTTGTTACTAATGTGTATCTGTACCCCGTCATCAGGTGTGAGGCTGTATTTCAGCACCTGTCCATTTAGACAGCCGTTAGCTCGGCCCAATACACTGACACTGGTTCACGTCCGATTACCTCCTGGATTCTCAGCATCTTCAACAGTTGAAAAGCCTTCAAAAGTGCATAAAGCTCTTTACAGTAAAGGTAGGTTCTGAAATGCTGTAAGATTTAAGATTAGGTTTTTTTTTTTTTTTTTTTTTAAATGTATGTGAGTGTTTGTCTTACATGTATGTATGTACATGCTGGGTACCCTTGGCAATCAGAAGAATGCATCAGATCTACTGGAACTATACTTTCCGCAGATTACTTTGAGCTCTCATATGAGATCTGGGAACTGAACCCAGGTTCTCCACAAGAGAAACAATTTCTCTTAACTACTCCGCCATCTCTCTCAGCACCACTACCACCCACATTTTTTTGTTTGTTTGTCTGGCTGGACTGGACATCTCTATGTATACCAGGCTTGCCTTGAACTTACAGAGATCTACCTGCCTCTGCTTCCTAAATGCTGGGATTAAAGATGTGCGCCACCACTACACGGCCTATACTTAATAAATTTTTATGAGTTACTAATGAAAATTGACAAACTCTAGACACACAAAACAAGCTACACACAATAAGCTCAATGACACTTGATAAGTGCTTTCTAGTGGTCACATGTTCTGTGTGTGCAATTGTGTAGAGACCTGCAGAAAGCTTTGAGTGTCACTCCTTGGGTTCAATCCACCTTTCTCAGTTTTCTCTTTCTTGGAAACATGTCTCACTGCCTGAATTCCCTGCAGACTTGGCTGGTTGGTCATTGATCCCCAGACTTCTGCTCATATCAATCTCCCTCAGAGTAGAGATTGTGGTGGGGTTGTACCTGTATCTCTCTGCTTACAGGGCAAGCTATCTCTTCAGCCATGTATGTGGTTCTTTCAAAGCAATTATTTTTACTTATTTTGTGACTTGTTTGAATTAGACCATCTTTCTATTTCTTGATGTGTCTACTGTGTATAGGTCTGGCATTTCGTTTGTTCAATTTATTTATAAACATTTTTTGTTATATATTTTATTTTTCCAACCACCATTTATTTAAAAACAAAGTCCTATTTTTTTTCTTCATTAGATTGCTTCTACCATGTATAAGTTATATATACTGTTTGTAATCATTAAGGTTATTGGGAATGCATACTATTTATTTATTTATTGTTTTTGTTTTTGTTTTTTTTTTTTTTTTGTTTGTTTTGTTTTTTGAGACAGGATTTCTCTATGTTGTTTTGGAGCCTGTTCTGGAATGGAACTCTATTTGTAGATCAGGCCAGAAATGAAGATTATTTAACATCATGTAATAATAGTTTGTGTGTTTAACTTTTAGGAATTCTACTGATGACAGCCTCAGAAAATGAAGATAATGACATTTTATGGTGTATCAACCATGACACATTTCCTTTCCAAAAGCCAATGATGGAAACTCAGGTCAGTTGTTTAGAGACTTCCAATAAAACTTATGTGTGGTACTGTGGGTCAGACCCAAGCATTTAGTTGCTTGGACACATACATTGTTATTCTAGTTACAAATGTTTTAAATGAAGAATGGGATGAAAAGTAACTTGTCTTCTTAATTCTTGCTGTTTTCATAATAGTAATATGGTTAGAAATTGTAGAGAGACAATAGAGTTGGCTCATGATTTTTGGAGCATTTATTTGTCCTTCAATCATAAGACTAGAGTTCTGATTCCAACACCCACATTGGTGGCTTACAAGTACCCGGCCTCAAACTCACTGAGATCTGCCTGCCTCTGCCTTCCAAGCATTGAGATTAACAGACATGCAACACCACCAGCCAGCTCAAAAGTGTTGTCCTTTGGATTGCAGAAGTTAGTAAGCCTGCTGGTGCAACTTGTGATCCCAGCCTTGGGAGATAGGCAGAGAGACAGGGTTTAAGAAGGCCTGGAAAGCATAGTGAGAGCATCTCCAGAGAAAGAAAGGAAGATCCAGACAGATCTCATATAGAAGATGCTGTTTGGAAGAATAGTATAGTAAAAAGCTAAATATATATTGCTGAGTCTCATGGTACTGGCTTTAGAAGGGTTACTGTAGCTGTTTTGTTTTATTTTATTGTATTTACTTGTGGTTTTTACTTCTAGAAGCTTTGGCATATGTGGCTTCAATAAAATAGGAAAACAGTGTATTTCTTTTCCATAGATGACAACCCGTGTTGATGGTCACTCCTGGGCTCTTTCTGCAATAGATGAATTAAAAGTCGATAAAATAATTACTCCTTTAAATAAAGATCATGTCCCAATAACTGACTCGCCAGCTGTTGTACAGCAGCACATGTTGCCTCCAAAGAAGTTCGTTCTCCTGTCAGCACAGGTATGTGTGTGTTTGCTTTACGGAAGTCTTCCTTTCACAGTAGTGCTGAGAGTGGAAGCCAGGAACTCGTTGCATGCTAGGCAAGCGCTGTACACTGCACTGTAGCTCTGCTCTAGTGCTGTGCAGTGGGAAGTCTCAGGGTGGGGGCGCCTCCCCACCCTGTCACCACCTCTGCAGAGCTCTTTGTCTCATTTCTTGAGTCAAGGTTTATTCAGATTTAGATCTCACAGAAACTGAGTTTTTCCGTGTTAGTTTCACATGATTTTCTTAGTTTGTGACTTTACTATTGAAAGTTACTTTTTAGAATTTGTATTGAAGTATTTTTTTTTTGTTTGTTTGAGGTTTATTAAAAAAAAAAAAAAACTTGTACTTTATTCTAGTGTATTTATAATTCTACTTTGTCCTTTAAACCTTGGACCTGTTTGGAATGTATCCTGGTGTAATGGATGACTAAGGATTCAGCTTTATTGTTGTATGAATGTGCGTGTGTGTGTGTGTGTGTGTGTGTGTGTGTACATGCCAACTTATAATAATAATATGTGAATAGCTAATTCTCTGGTTTGAGAGGGGTAAGACTGTTAATTTTTTGTAGATAATGGAAATTGAATATAAATTGATTGTTGTAGCAATCTTGTCTGGTTTCTTTGTATTCTTGGAATTGCTTGTTGTTAAGTAAGGTAGCAGTTGGTTATTGCCATCCAGGCTTTTTGTGTGTGTTACTGGGGAGAGACCTTAGAGCTGCATGCCAGGCTAGCGCTCTCCCCCTGAGCTGTGTCTGCAGCCCTCCACCAGTAGATTGGTAAGTGCTTATTCATGTTCTTTCTTGCTTTGGCTTCTTAGGGTAGTCTTATGTTTCATAAACTTAGACCTGTGGATCAGCTGAGACATCTGCTTGTAAGTAACGTGGGTGGAGATGGAGAGGAGATTGAAAGATTCTTCAAATTACATCAGGTAAGTATACCTACCCTGTGGTGTGATATTTTAAAGAAGAAAGCAAGTCTTTGTAAATTGGAAGTAAAACATTGTAATACGCAGATTATCTGTTCTCTCTTATACTAGATTCAGAATATATGTACTGATTCTGAAAGTAGTAATGTGTCAGGACTCCTCCAACTTTGTTCTCTTATTTTGACAAATCCTTTTAAGGTTTACTAGTAAAAATATAATATTGAAGTTATTTGATAAATACACTTTTTACTAAAAGCATCAGGCATTACTTTATGAGTATGCACATGTAATGTATGTTACCAAGCACACTGAATAAACCTAAGGCATAAGTTGAAGCATATATGAGACATCAGTGATTAATAGCCAGAACTCAAAATGATAGATTTAAAACTGAGAAAGAAGGTGTAGTTAAATTAGTACTGTCTAATTTACAGTGTACAGACCTGGATTCAAACTACTGCTTGAAATATTTTTTCCCAACGGAGTGAGAAACTTATATTCACTAAACTTTAGGTTTAGTTTTTGCTTTTTGTACTATAAGGACTGATATATACTGGCTTCTTAAAATAGTGCCCAGCATATGATAGGTACTCAGTAAATAATGCCTAGCACATGATAGGTACTCCATAAATGTTGGCTCTTACTGATAATTTCTTAAAATTGAAAGGATAAATTACAAGAATAAAAAATAGCAGTTGATCAAGATTTAATAAAGAGAAAGCATCTGTAGTACTAGTGCCTGAGCTAAACTTTAAATCTGAGCTGCTCACTTTTTAATGTCAGTTGATTTCATTATATCAGCAAGTATTTGTTGAACACTTGCTTTAACTATTGGGGTGTCTTTAATTTTTTCTTACAGGAGGACCAGGCTTGTGCAACTTGCCTTATCCTTGCTTGTTCCACTGCTGCCTGTGATAGAGAAGTCTCTGCTTGGGCTACACGGGCATTCTTTAGGTATTTGTCAGGGTAGAGTGTATGGATGTGTGTGTGTTCATGCCTGTGCTTATGGAATAGATCCACTTTGTTGAGGGGGCGAGTTCGGAGAGTTGAACATAGGGAGGATTTTTTAAGCATGTTATACAAGCACTAAGCATTCTAGCACTGAGTTACATCCTTAGTCCCCAAATGTCCATCAGATATCTTAAAAATATTATAAAAGACCCAGTTTTTTTTCTTTTTAAATATATATGAGTGTTCTGTATGCATATATGCCTTTATATATGCATAGGAGAGGGCATCAGATCCCCCTATAAATGATTGTGAGCCACCATGTGGTTGCTAGGAATTAAACTCAGTACCTCTGGAAGAGTAGCTAGTGCTCTTAACCGCTGTGCCATTTCTCAGTCCAGGACCTGTTTTTTGTTTGTTTTGTTTTGTCTTGTTTTTGTTTGACTATTTGGTGGTAATGGAAATTGAATATAGGGTCTTAAACATAGTAAGCTCTATTTCCTATTTAATAATAATTAAAAAATTATTGTATTATTTTTTTATGTATGGGTGTTTTTCCTGCATGTGTCTGTAGCTCATGCATGTGCCTTTGGGGGCCAGAGGAGTGTAATGAGTTCCCCACCACTCCATGTGGGTACTGAATATAAAAAGTAGGTCCTCTGCAAGACTATCCAGTGTGCTCTTAATTACTGTGCCATCTCTCCAGCCACCTGGGCCTTTTTTTTTTTTTTTAAGACAGGGCATCACCATGCAAGCCTGTGTTAGCTGGCCTGCTTTTTACCTCTTGAGGGCAGGGATTAAAGAGACCAGTGTGATAGTTTAAGGCTTTGCCAAACAGGAAATAAGCAAATTATTAAAATTCATTAGTGAGAATGAAATCTAGAAAAACTAATGTGGGTGGAACAGACTGATTACAAATGCAAGCCTTCCTGTTGACTGGGTTTTCTTTAAATTTTGTTCTTATTTTACACCTTTCATCAAAGTTACTCCCCTGCATCCTTTTTTTCTTCTTCAAACATGACCAGTTCTTTTGCACGTGTATCATTGGCCCTAAGGGAGTCGCAGTAAGGAAACTTGCTGTCAAAGAGATAGTTTTTTTTAAAAAAATCTATTAGTGCTGGTGAGCAAACCAGGATGTACACTTCCTAGTCAAGTGCTGCGCCATTAACCTTTGCTCCACCCTTCAGAGTTTCTTCTTGTAAAACATTTCACCAAGAATTTGAAGTATGAGTATAAGGACTGGAGTGGTGGCTGAGGAGTTAAGAGCACTGGCTGCCCCTTTAAAGGATCCTGGTTCAATTCTCAGCACACACGGCTGCTAACAACTGTCTGTCACTGTTTCCAGGGGATCTGACACCCTCCAGTGGCTTCTATGTGCAAGGTAGTACATATACACAGACATACATAAAGAAAAATCTTAAAAAAATTTAATTTATGGCTAATCATACTTTGTCAGAGAGACCACGATGTGTTTCATTATTAAGTAAACTATTCATTAAAAATCCATTTTTTTAGACATTAGTACAGTCCCTCAGTTTCCTGGTAGCAATTTCAAATCAACATTTACCAAAGGGTAGGCATACATTAAAGTGTCTACCAGTAATGTAAATAAGCTGAACAGGAGCAGGAACTATCACAGCTTTTGCAGGACAAACAGTCTAATTTGTCATCCTTTTGTCCCACAAATAGGTATGGTGGTGAAGCACAGATGAGATTCCCAGCTACTCTTCCCACTCCGAGTAATGTTGGTCCCATCCTGGGGTCTCCAATGTATTCTAGTGAGTATGGAACATTGAAATGAAACTTGGTTTATGTTTTAGAAGTGATGATATACTTTAGGAAATAGAGAATTTTAATGTTTTATTAGTACTTTCTTAGCAATGAACAGGTCTCTAGATAGTGACTATTGATTATATTTTTGTTCATTTGCTAGGGTTTTTTTGGTTTTGTTTTTTATTTTTGCTTGCTTTGAATAGTCTTTCTATGTAGCCTTGGATGGCCTGGAACTTGTTATGTAGACCAGACTGGCTTTGAACTCAGCTTCTCCCTGCCTCTGTCTCTCACTGATGGAATTAAAAGCAGGTGCTGCTATCATGCCTAGCAATACTGAATCGTTAGTGAATACTAAAGAGCAAAATAAGTTGTAACCTGTAGTATTTACACAACTCATTTAGTATTCAAAGAGAAAGAGAAAAAACAAAAAGAAAAAGGAGATGAATAATCAAGTAATTAGTGAGTCCATATCTGTGTCTTCCAAGTGGGATAATGTTAGCTGATGTGTGTCTAATTTTTGTATATAATAGGTAGTGTTACTCCTCAGTCATACAGTAGCTTCTTTACATAATCTTGATCATATTCAAAGCATTAGAGAAGTATTTTACAAATCTCTACTCTCTTTTTCCTTTCAGGTTCTCCTGTCCCTAGTGGTAGTGCCTATCTGAGTCCATCCCATTTGGGGACACCATCCCATGGTAACTCTTTTTACTTCTGTTCATTTTGAAGAGCTATCATTATCAATTATTCTCTTTACTATTTAATATTGAAAGGATGAACTTACCTAATCCCTTTAAAATAAAAACAAAAGTCAGGCTGAGGAGATCATTCAGGTGATAAAATGCTTACACAAGCATGAAGACCTGAGTTCAATCCTCACAACCATGTAAAACAGCCAGCATGGTGATATGCACTTATAGTCCCCATCACCTCGAGGGAGGGTGTGTGTGTGTTTGTGTTCCTGGCCAACCAGCTTGAAATGCTAATGAAGTCTGTCCTCGGCAGCCCAGATGCATACTTAAAATCTAGTTTGGTCTGTAGTTGCATGCACACAGAGATCATCACATATACCAGCACTCAGCTAGCAGTAGTGGCATCCAAGCAAGTTTTTTGCATTTGACTCTGAATGCATCATTTAGGAACTCCTGTAACAGTGTGTATCCTCTTACTAGAATATGGGGATTGACTGGGTTCTGATGACTGTAATTACTTCTTTTTCTCTCCAACATTAGAAACTGATTTCAAGTCTTCTTACTTCCAGCCCATCTTGTCATCATGTTAAAGAAAGTTTAGCTGAGAAAAACCATCCAAGTCAGAGTTAGTTCCAGGACAGCCTGTCTTGAACAACCAAAACAAAAATCAAAATAAATTAAATAAAATAAACAAAACATCCAAGTCTACCCTTTTTGTCAAACAAAATCAAATGTGTATTTCTTTCATTATCTTTATTTTAGGAGTTCCCCTTTTTGTCTAGATATACCAAATGGATTATTGAAATTTCTGAACATTTCAGATATATTTTTTTAAAAACTATTTTTATTAATTTGAAAATTTTATACATGCATACAGTGTGTGTGTATATTTACCCTCAACTCCTTCCAGAAACACCGTCCCAAGCCCCCTCTCCTCAGCCTGTGTCCTTTTTTTATAGCCCACCCAGTCCAGTTTGTGCTGTTTACATCCTAGTGGGCAAGAGGCCATCCACTGTAGCAAACAAGGACTGCAGTAACCCTTCAAACCCAGAAACCCTCAACTATTAATAAGGGGTAGAGGCTTGTGAGCCCTTCCCTCATCCATGTTGGAATGTTGACTGGTTTGATCTCGAATAACCAGCCATGCAGAGTTCATGAGTATAGAAGTCCTGACATGTCCAGAATACACCATGTCACCCTACCTCTCTTGACCTTTGGTTCTTACTGTCTTCTCACCCCCTCTCCCATGATGGTCTCTGTGCTTTCTGGGGGTCGGGGGGGGGGGTGTTGGGGTCGGCTATGAGATAGATGTTTCATTGTGGCTACAGACTCCATAGGTACTTATTCTCTACATTTCAACCTCTGTGAGTTTCTTTGTTAACCACCATCTATGGCACAAAGAAACTTCTCTGATGAGGTCTGAGAGCCACACTGATGCTTGGATAAAGAGATGTGAATTAAAAGCCTGATTGATACTATGTCCATTTTGCAAAATAATAGTAGTTGAGGCTTATGAGCTTCAAGGGTGAACCTAGGATTTATTTTTAAGAGACTTTCTTATCTGTGTACAGGTGCTCATCTTCCTACCATGTCAACACCATTGTATGCTGTGGGAAACCCGGCAATGCAGGCTGCAAGCATGAGTGGTTTGACTGGACCAGAGATTGTGTACTCGGGAAAACACAATGGTATTTGCATTTACTTTTCTCGAATCATGGGGTAAGTATTTTGTAGACTACCTTCCTATTGTCCCATTTTGTCCTATTTGCAATTCTGAAATATTCCTAAATCTATTTATATTTGGAACATTACTTTATGAATTTTATTTTAGTTTTAAACTCATCCATTGACATTGTTTTTGCATTGTTCAGCCCTTTAACTGTATTCATTGTTGTATTTCTGTGCATACAGCCTCAGCTTTTATCTTCATGCACATTAATAACTAGCCTCATAAAGCATCCTATAATTGAGTAATATGTATGTAGATTTTAGTTGGGCAGGTCTTACATGGCTCACTCATGCATATACAATCAGATGCAGCAATAGAAAGAATTTTATTTGTCTTGGCTGGATTGTTATATACTTTGAGACCCAGTTATCCGTAGATGTGGAATAGGCACACAGTTCTGTTCTTTGTATAGTCTCATCCTCCAGTAGGACAGTTAAGAATTTGTCTCTTGCTGGTGGCTGGGTTACATGAGAAGTTAGACTGTTGTAAAGCCTCTCAGTGACTCTTATTTATAACAGTGCCATTTTCCTGCTTTATCGGCCAGCCTCGATTCCATCCTTTTAAGGACAGGTGTGGAAGTCATCCTGCAGATGAGGGAAAGATGAATGGTGGTGCCCATATTTGTAGTCCTCCCATACCTTCTAATTAGCTGCCGTGTCTATAGATGTTGAGATAAATACTGATGTGCATTATAATTTTATGTGTATAAATGCTTTTCCTGTGTGTATGTATGTATGCTGTGGTATGCCTGGTGACCATCAGATCTCCTGGAAGCGGAGTTACAGATTATTGTTAGCTGTCATGTGGGTACTGGGAACTGAAATTAGAGCATCTGCAGGAGCAATAAGTGCTCTTAACCACCAAGCTTGTTCTTTAGTAGGCTTTCATTTGATGGACTCTTTCTGGAGTGATTTGGATGTTACCTTTCAAAGTTTTTCAATTTTTTTGTTTTTTTCAATTGTACATATTATTATTGGTTTGTATGCATGATGGAGAATAGGCTTGTACTAGAAGAAAGTATCTTTTCTTGTCGAGTTGTTTCTCCACCCAATTTTCTAGGAAACTTTGTAAATGTTAAAAATAAGTAGATGCTAAGTTTCAAAGTCAAGTAAAGCCTTATGTTCCTACAGAAAAGTAGCTGCAGGTTATAAAATGTTGCATTCATTTACAGTGTAATAATTAAAACTTTTTTTGTTCCAGAAATATTTGGGATGCCAGCTTAGTTGTTGAAAGAGTATTCAAGAGTTCCAACAGGGAGATCACTGCAGTAAGTTTGTATATGTCATCTCCTTGTTTGTATGTAACCAGTAGAGGATGTTAACAGGTAGTGTTTTATGGGTCTTAATGTCTAAAGTAAGATGCAATGATTGTTTTATCCAGGTGTTTGTGTTCTTATTCAGTAAACTGTCCTCTCTAGTTTGGTCTTGTCCTGGTCACTTATTGAGTAAAGTTTTTAACACTTCCCAGCCTGCTACTCCACTACAAAATGAAAAAAATAAAAAAAAATAGCCCTTCTCCTTTTGAAAGTGGCTGTGAGGGTCAGAGAGTCAGCCCTAATTCTTAATCTCCTCATTTGCTCTCACTTGTACTTGGCTTTTCTGCATGAGATACTCTCACAGTCTCGGCATTAATTAGTCTGAGTCCACAGCCTTCTCAAATGGCTTTAAAGAAACATCTTACATGGCTTTATTGTCACAGAACAGGCAGGAATTTTCTTTGGAGAATCTGGGACATCACTTTTGTTCTAACGCTTTTTAAAATGGTAAAGTATCAAGGGTTTTTTGTTTGTTTGTTTGTTTTTTCTTTCTTCCTTTCCCCTTTACTGTTCTTTGTTTTCTCTGCTGTTCTGTTTTTCTAAGTTTTTTTTTTTTTTTTTTTTTTCCAGTCAGAGTCTTGCTGTATATTTCAAGCTGATTTTGATCTTGTGATTTTCCTACTACGACTTCTAAGTCCTGGAATTGTACTCATGTACCAACATACACAACCAACCTGAATTGTCGTACTTTTAAAGTTCACATTTCTTTCTTTCTGCCTTCCTTCTTTTCTTTTTTGTCTTTTTTCTTCTTCTTTTGTTTGTTTTTGTTTTGTTCTTTGAGCCAGTTTATGTAGCAGCTCTGTAAACAGCCCACAGAGATCTGCGTACTTCCGCCTCCCAAGTACTAGGATTAGAGTTCACATTTCTGATAATAAGAAAACTTTTTATCTAATGTAGTATTTGTATGTGCTTCAGAATTGGCTGAATCAATGGATAATCATAGTAGGAAGAAGGTTCCCTTAAGGGGATGATTGATTGATTGATTGATTGCCAGAAAAGGCCATAAGATGTGGGTGTTGTTAATATGCTGTACTAGGATCTAATTGGTGACCACGGAAATGTGGAAAGTAATAAGAGGTTCACTTAATATTTGTGTTTTACTGCATGTAAATTATATGTCAATGTTAACAATGTTGAATGGACTTAAAAACTGTACTGTTTATAAAGATAGTGTAGCTCAAAACTAAAATTTTATATATTCAGTGCTGACTCTCATGGTACTTTTTTATGCATACACTTTTTCCATGTCTTTAAACTTTTGAAAACTCCCTCTTACAGATTGAAAGCAGTGTGCCCAGCCAGCTGCTGGAGTCTGTGCTACAGGAACTGAAGGGTTTGCAGGAATTTCTAGATAGAAATTCCCAGTTTTCTGGAGGACCACTAGGAAATCCAAAGTAAGAACCAGATTTATTTGTTCATTTACTTTTTTTTTCCTGTGTATGAAAGATGCTTTTTCTTCTTTGAGATGCTGAGACAAAACCCAGGGCCTTGCACATGCTGAAGGATGTTCTCTACCACTGAAATATGAGCCTAACTGTTCAGTTTTTCTTTTCCATTGTATTTGGTTGAACTATTGGACCTATACCATGCGGTCACAAGGGTTTTCTTTCGAGACATGATTTCTCTGTATTGCTTTGGAGCTGTCCTGGGACTAGCTCTATAACCAGGCTGGCCTCAAATTCACAGAGATCCACCTGCCTCTACCTCCCTAATGCTGGGAGGTAAAGGCATGTGCCACCAATGCCTGGCTATAAGTTTTTATTATTTTTTTTTTACTTTTTGGTGTTTGGAGACAGGGTTTCTCTGTGTAGCCCTGGCTGTCTTGATTCTTGCTACATAGACCAGGCTAGCTTTGAACCCAGGGACTTGATTGCTTGCCTATGCCACCCAAGTACTGGAATTAAATGTGTTTCCTGGCCAGTCTTTTTTTTTTTTTTTTTTTTTTTTTAACTTTTTATTTATTTGTTTTTTTTTTTTTTTTTAAAGACAGGATCTCACTGTGCAGCATTGGCTGTTCTGGAACTCACCTCATCATCAGCCAGGCTGGCCTCAATATCACAGAGATCTGCCTGCCTTTGTCTCTTGAGTGCTAGGGATTAAAAGTTTGAGTCACCATGCCCTGTCCAAGGTGTATCCTATTAAATGACACTTTTCTATAGATTCTAGTGCATTCACAAGATTATATACTATCACTTGTGTCTAATCCTGGAACATTTCTGTGACCATTGATTGCCATCCCCTCTCCATTTCTCTTCTGGTTTCTGTGACCAGTAGTGTGCGTACTGTCACAGCTTGTTATTTTACCAAAATGAAAATATTCAAAATTAGTTTTTGTGCCTGGATTATTCCTTTTGTAGTGTTAGAAAAGACAATCCATTTCTGTCCTATAATTTCTCTATTTTCTAAAATTGCATTTATTTGAAGTTGTGTGGGTGGGAGGTGTGTTTACCACAGCATCTGTGTGGAGGTGTGAGTACAAGTTGTTCTATTTGGTTCTGAGGATCCAGCTCTGGTCATCAGAGTGGCAGCAAGCACTGTGACCTATTAAGCCATTTTACCTCCCCAGAGAAAGAGAAAGAAAGGGGGGGGGGGATTGTACACCTTACATACTCAGTAAAGCTGCCACACTCACATGGTATGTTCTGTTTCAGTACTACTGCCAAAGTGCCTCAGAGGCTGGCGGGGTTCCTACGTCCTGAGAATGGAAACACCCAGCAGATGCAACAAGAGCTGCAGAGGAAGTTTCATGGTAAATTATTTCTTGTGGTCAGTGACCCCAGTTATACACACTTGGCCCCACCAAAGAGTTGCATTTCCTAAACAAGAAACAATGAACTTCAGAGATTTCCCTTCTTTGCCACCAGAAAACATGATGCACTCTATTTGATGAATTCTTCTTCATAGTGGCATACATAGACCATGAAGTTGACCATTTTAGTTACTTTTTCATTCAGTTGTCAGCAATTTTAAACATGAATATGCATTCTGCGCTTTCTCTTTCTACATCTCCATCTTTTCAACCTCTTTCCACTCCAGTCAAACTTTCCACACACCCCAGTTCCTTTCCCAGCTTCATGACTCAGCTTTGTTGTGTGGCTCTTTTAATCAGGGCCATCTAGGTGGCTTTTGGTTGGAGATTGTCCATTGCAGCTGGTGGGGTCACCAATGGGGACATAGCTGAATAACTGATTCCCCTGTGTCTGAATCTACTCCCCTGGAACACCCACACTCAGCTTAGGGTCCCTAAGAGTCCCTTTGAAATGAACAGTTGAGCACATTCCATATGTTCACCTTGTTGAGCAACTGTTACCAGCATCCATCATGTGAACTTTTTCATTATTCAGTAGTGAAACTCAGTGTAATCACTTCCCTGTCTGAAGAAAGTTCATTGCACCTACCAGTCTACTTTCATTTGTCTTCTCTGAGTACTTGGTATTAACAGTTTTCTTCATTTTATTACGGGCTTACTTCACTTAGCATACTGTTTTTTACATTCATTCATGTTGTGACATGTGTTACAATTTCTAGTCTAAGATTGAATAACATTCTATTGTATTAAATGCACATACAGTATATAATGTTTATCCATTTTGTCCCTTTTGACAAATGCTACTTATTTAAAGATAAGGCATAATTATCCTGATTGATTGAATTGATTTAATAATGTATTAGGATATATTAATGTAGGATTTGAGAAACTCTGTCCTGAGAAACATGGTGCCTTCCAGAAGGCCTTCTAAAATATCATTGTTTTAGTGGCACTGTGTTGGAAGTAGTGTCTAAATGTCCTTTGAGTGGGAACTTTCAAGTGTGGCATACTTAGAAAATGAGAGACACGCTGCCGTGTTTTTATTCTTCATGCATGCATATGCAAATGTTTTGTGTGTATATACACACATGTGTTTCATGAGGATGAAAACATGAATATGCCAGTGATTATTGTTGCCTCTGATGGAGGCGGGAGAAACATGGGAATTTCCTTCTTAGCTGTGTTCTATTTGACATAAGAAAACAGGGAGGAAAACAGTTCTCCCTGAATCATCTTATATTTCATTAGTTGTGTTTTATCATCAGAGGCTCAACTGAGTGAGAAGATTTCACTTCAGGCAATCCAGCAGTTGGTTAGAAAGTCCTACCAGGCTCTGGCTTTGTGGAAACTCCTTTGTGAACATCAGTTTACTGTCATTGTAGGAGAACTTCAGAAGGTGAGGTGGGCTGGACCTTTGGGTTTGTTTGAGTCTCATACTACTTAAGTCTTGACTTTCATTGTTGTTACAATTTTTTAAATTTATGTGTGAGAGTTGTGTGTGTTTTGCCTATATGTATATAAGAGCACCTCATACCTGTCTGCTGCTGCCCAAGGAAGGCATCAGTTTTCATGGAACTGGAGTTACAGGCGGTTGTGAACTTTCATGGGGGTTCTGGGAATTGAACCTGGGTCTTCTGGAAGATCAATCAGTACTCCTGACTTCTGAGCTATTGCTCCAGATCCCTGAAGTCTTGGTTATAAGCAGCATTTCAAGTGAACCCTTGACCTCCGATCTCTTTATTGGTGCCCAGAAAGTAGTTACGGTTGCTGATGTTGGACATTTTTCTTACTTTTATGCATGATTCTTTGATTTCTCCATTTTAAAATTTAAAACTCCTATATTTAGTCAATGAAAACATTTTTATTATAAATGAAAACATTTTTATTCTCCATGTCAGGTATGATGCTTTTGAATTTTGTTGATTATAAATTTAAGGTAGATACTTTTTTACCCTCCCTATCATTTGTTATCTGTCTTGAAAGATTCCTTTCCTTCTATTGACAATTAATGTACTCTAGGAATGCAAATTAGGTGTTTGTCCCAAAACTTGCAATATTTTGTAGATATTTTTGTTGAAATTTAAGAAAAGAAAATATATCTCTATAAAATTACTTACCAGACTATAAAATGACTTTACCCTTTAGAATTCCATCTTAGCAAGCAAATTTGCCCAAAATGCAGGAAAAATTCATGGATTTAATGTTTAAAAACCTCACATTATTCAGGAACAATAAAGCAAATGCACAATTTTCTTTTTTGTTTGGTTTGGTTTTCTTCTTTTAGACAGGCTCTCACTATGTAGCTCCAGCTGTCCTGAACTCATTATGTACTCCAGGCTGGCTTTCAACTCACAGAGACCTGCCTGCCTCTGCCTCCAAGTGCTGAGATTAAAAGCGTGAGCCACCACTCCCAGCTCCAGCCAGATTTATTAACTGTAGCCTAGTGATTGTTTTTCACCAGCTCCCAAAAGCAGTGTGGTCTGCTACTATGCTAATTCTGCCTTGACTCTACTTTTCTCAAATATAAAGTCGGAGGTTTGAATTAGACCTTCTGTAGGTTACTTCCAACTTTATGATTTTATTGCAGTTTTTTTTGCAGAGCTGTATGTTACTCATTTAATGTATTTTCTTTGTCAATGCTGGGAATTGAACCAGGGCCTTAGGACTAAGCTGCACACTCAGCCCTATTTTCTCTTTCAATTTAGAGTCTACTGGTATTAAAGTCATCTTTGTTATTAATGAAATCTCAGCATGGTGGCTCACACCTGTAACCTTAATATTTGGGAGGAAGAAGACAGATCTGTATTCAAAGCCAGCCTGGTCTACATAAGTTCAAGGCCAGGTAGTGCTACCTAGTAAGACCCCGTCTGAAAAACTAAAACAACAACAAGAAGAAAAATAATTTTCACTTTGGGAGGAATATGTTTTTGTGCTTCTGTAATTTTGATGATGGGCTTTCTCTCTCTAGGAGTTTCAGGAGCAGCTAAAGATTACCACCTTTAAGGATCTGGTTATCAGAGACAAAGAGCTCACTGGTGCATTGATTGCTTCTCTTATCAGCTGCTACATCAGAGACAATGCTGCTGTGGATGGCATTAGTTTGCATCTGCAAGATATCTGCCCACTTCTATATAGCACGGATGATGCAGTTTGTTCTAAGGTATGATGCTTCACTGCTTTTTTTAGTGTTTTCATAGATGAGGTTTACAGTGTGATGAATGGGAACGGGAAACTCAAGGTTTTTCGATATACACGACCTCAGAGCCATCTTTTAACATGTGCTGGTCTTAGGATCTTCAACTAAGAGGGGTGGTCGAATTACATGGCTTCTTAAAAATACATCTATCCCCTTTTAAGTGTAATATATAGGAAAATCTTTGACAGCATTTTTAAGCCATGTTTTAAAAGTCAAAGATTATAGGACTGGAGAGATGGCTCAGTGATTAAAAGCACTGACTGCTCTTCCAGAGGACTCAGGTTCAGTATCTAGCACCAGTTCCATGGTGTTACAGACACCCTGTTCTGACAACCATGGGTATCAGGAACATGGCATGCTGCACAGACATACATGCAAGCAAGACACCCATGCACATAAACTCAAAAAAGGACAAAGGTTAATAATTAAGGAAAATGGCTTAATTTAGAAATTGAGAAAATTTGTTCACTAAGAAATTTGTTTCCTTCCTTAGAAAGTAAGGAAAATCACTAAGTCTTTAAGTCAATCTGGAGTGAATCAAAGTTAATGAGGCAATTCTTATTGATCCTTTCCTACAGGTGAGAAAAAATTAAGTAAATGTCACATGATGAACTGCCTGCTGACCAATAATGTATTGACTAGGCAAAAGCATTCCCAGACAAAGCTATCTGACTTAACATACTTGGGAGAGGAATTAAGAATAGCTAGGATTTTTTTGGTCAAAAACTTTTCTGCCTAAAATTAAGAAGTAAGTTTGTAGAGTTTTTATTTATAATGATAATAAATCACATGTACATTTAGACAGATTAAAAAATATAGACAGCATCTGCCTACTTGATTCTGTCTCTTTTTAAGCCTCTGTCATCTCTTTAGGCAAATGAGCTTCTTCAGCGGTCTCGACAAGTTCAAAATAAGAGTGAAAAAGAAAGAATGTTAAGAGAATCGCTGAAGGAATATCAAAAAATCAGCAACCAAGTAGACCTTTCCAGTGTCTGTGCTCAGTACAGGCAAGGTGAGAAGCAGACTGCTTTTGTGTCTTTTTCTTAGCTCAGGACAAATCACCATGTAGGAATACAGCAGGGCGACCAAGTCTCTCTTCCCAGGTACAGATCTTCTGTCATCCATGGCCAAGTAATAGTTTGGATTGTGTAGTTTTGGTTTTTACTGTCATACTGGAGATGAAACGTAACTCTTGTACATGTGAGGCAAGTGCTTATTTATATTTGAGACAACCTTATATGTAACTCATGCTGGCCTTGAAGGCTCTGTAGCCAAGGATAACCTTGAGCTTCTGGTCCTTCTGTCTCTGCCTCCCAAGCCTGGGATTATGCCCATCTTCCTCTTTCTGACTAATATGGAACTTTTGGTTTTGGTATTTCAGTCCTTGTCAAGTTATACTACTGAGTTTCACTTACTTTTAAAATGCCTAAAATTTTTTGACAAATCTTATAAGTACAAACTCTGAACTGTTAGTACAGATTTGAAGAATAAGTTTTCTTCCTCTGAAACTTCTTTCTGTTGTTTTATGTATAAAGGTTCTTTCCAAGAAGGGATCTATTAATAACTGCCTTCCAGCCATATTAGACCTTTATTGATAAGAAGACACATGAGGACTATTAAGTGATGTTGTCACCAGAATAGCAGACATTTACTAGGTCTGTTGCGTGCCTGCTAAGGAAAAGTATTGGGAGCTTAGCAGGAATCTTAAGCCTTGGCCTTTTCTTTCCATCAGTGCGTTTCTATGAGGGTGTGGTAGAACTTTCTCTTACTGCTGCGGAAAAAAAGGATCCTCAGGGTCTTGGACTCCATTTCTATAAGCATGGAGAACCAGAAGAAGATGTTGTTGGTCTTCAGACTTTCCAAGAGAGGTGAGTTCTCGAGCCTTACCTGACTGTCGGGTTTTTAGAGATAGGCCTTTCTTTGCATAAAATTTTGATTGATACTGTAGTGACGAAACATTTCAAGTACAACCCTTGAAACATTTAATTATGTTCATACTTAACCCTAGAGAGATAAGATTTTAGTTTTATAATTGAAAAAAGCACTTGCAAGTATTTTGTGTGTTTATGCATGTGATGTTTGCCAGGGGAAGATATCAGGTGACTGTTTTTTGTCAGTCTCTGAGTTACTCCTTTGCAGGATTTCTCACTGAAGCTTGCTTGAGTCAGGCTGCCAGGTTCCAGCGGTCCTCGGTTCACCCAATGCTGGAGTTACTGGCATGACATAAACACCCCTGCTTTTTGCATGAGTCCTGGAAATTTGGACTTGGGTCCTCATGCTTGCAGAGCCAGTACTTTTCCATCTACTGAGCTGCCATCTCAGCCTTAAGAGTAGTTTGTTGGGGTTTTTTTTGGGGGGGGCAGTCTCACCATGTTTCCCTGGGGAGACTGGAAATCTGTATAAACTAGTCAGACACAGTGATCTCCCTTCTTCCCAAATACTAGGATTAAAGGCATGGATCACCACGCCTGTCCCTTATAAATGGTTTTTGACCTGTAGCTGTGGGATTTTCTTTTGTTTATTTATTTGTTTGTTTGTTTGCTTGCTTGTTTGTTTTTAACTTTTGAAACTGTATTATATTTTTTGAAATCCCTGATTTGAGAGTAAAACTGGCTTCCCTTCCTCCCCAGTTTCTGGTTCAAGGTGAAGATAATTTTGTGGGGGTCTTTTTGTTTTTTTCCATAAGGAAAATCTTAAGTGTTCACAAATTTGTAAAGACTCAAAGAAAAATACACCAGGCAGCAGCGGTGCATGCCTTTAATCCCATCACTGGGGAGGCAGAGGCAGGCGGATCTCTGTGAGTCGATACCACCTGATCTACTACTACACAGTGAGTTCCAGGACAGGCTCCAAAGCTACATAGATGAACCTTATCTTAAAAAACAAAACAAATCTTATTTTGTGTGATTTGCCCTTCTACATTTAACCAAATAGTTTTTGAATATTTTGAAAAAGTATATTGGAGTTTTTGAGGGAGTGATAGAGGATACAGGTTGCCTTAGTTTGGTTTAGGATTTTTGTAATTTTTATCATTTCATGTATGTGAGTGTTTTGCCTGTGCGTATATGCATTATTTTTGTGTCTAGTATCTGTGGAAGCTAGAAGAGGATGACAGATCTCCTGGAACTAGAATTACATAGGTTATGACCTGCCATGTGCGGGCTGAAAGTGTAGCCAGGTTCTTAACCACTGAGCCATCTCTTCAATCCCTAGTTTTGGGTTTTTTGTTTTTTGGTTTTTTTTTTTTTTTTTTAACAAGCTTCAAACTCAATCCTGCCTCAGCCTCTGAGTGTTGGATATAGAGGCAGATATCATCGTGCCTATTTGTTTATGTGCTTGTTTCAGACAGTCTTAAGTATCCTGGGCTCATCTAACATGAGAAAAATATTTTCCAGATTGAACAGTTACAAGTGCATTACAGACACTCTTCAAGAACTGGTAAATCAAAGCAAGGCTGCTCCTCAGTCTCCTAGTGTACCCAAAAAGCCTGGTCCTCCAGTGTTGTCATCAGATCCCAACATGCTGAGCAATGAAGAAGCAGGACACCATGTAAGGGACAGGCAGGCTTCCATTGGGGGAGGGGGGATTTGAAAGTTCCACATTGTAGTGCTGCCACAATCACTGGGAAAGGAAGTAACTAATAGTTACCATTCAACTTGTTTTCTTAACCAGAAGGCTGGGGAGAGGAGGGGTTATATCCAGGAGGAAAGCTTTAATCATCCTGATTTTCACTGTTTTCTTTATTTTAGTTTGAACAGATGCTTAAATTGGCTCAGCGATCCAAGGATGAGCTCTTTAGTATTGCTCTTTATAATTGGCTAATACAAGCTGACCTTGCAGATAAACTACTACAGGTAAAACTAGTATTTGTACAATAAGTTTATGTTACTATGTATTTCCAAGTAGTGTAACTTGTAGATATAGGAAATTAGTTTTTCATCCTATGTATAACATTAGGGGCTAGTATAAAGCTTAGAGTGTAATTTCTTTTTCTATGAAGCAAAATAGACTGTTGTTTTAACATTGTTTAGAGGCTGATTTGAATAGTAGTGTTGTGGTATAGGAGGATCTGAGTCAGTCATTAGGCTCCTTTTTTAAAATTAGAATCCTTTTTTTAAACTTTTTTTTTTAATTTAGGAAAGATCTTATTTTATATGATATATAAAATCCCTGTTCCCTCTCCCTCCTACCGACCCCCCCAAGGGTACACAAATTGGAAAGGAAGAAGTCAAACTTTCACTATTTGTAAGTGATGTGATAGTTTATATAAGTGACCTGAAAAATTCTACCAGGGAACTCCTACAGCTGAGAAACACCTTCAGTAAAGTGGGAGAATACAAGATTAACTCAAAAAAATCAGTAGCTCTACTATATAAATGGGCTAAGAAAGAAATCAGAGAAACATCTCCCTTTACAATAGCCATAAACAACATAAAATATCATGGGATAATACTAACCAAACAAGTGAAAGACCTATATAATTAAAACTTTGAGTCTTTAAAGAAAGAAATTAGAGAAGATACCAGAAAATGGAAAGATCTCCCATGCTTTTGGATAGGTAGAAAAACATAGTAAAAATGGCGATCTTACCAAAAGCAATCTGCAGATTCAGTGCAATCCCCATCAAAATCCCAGCACAATTCTTCACTGACCTTGAAAGGATAATAATCAACTTTATATGAAAAACAAAAGACCCAGGATAGCCAAAAGAATAAAGGAACTTCAGGAGGCATCACCATTCCTGACTTCAAGCATTATTATAGGGCTATAGTCCTGAAAACAGGTTGGTATTGTCACAAAAATAAACATGGAGACCAGTGATTGACGTCTTTTTAAATATCAGTGCTCCTTGATTTATAAACTTGAGACCTGGGGTTTGATGGTGCCATGGGTGCCTTTTGTGCTCACAGTCAGAATATGTTCTCAAAGTTCATTAAAAGAATTAGAATTTTACACTGAATTGTTTTGTTGTTGTTATTGTTAGTGTGTCATAGAAAGTTCTTCATTAATTACTATAACAAAAATCATATGTAATGAGAAAATGATCACCTATTGGTGTTGATTCAGTTTTGCTTATTTTCACAAAACAAGGCACACACACAAAATACACTGTTCTACTTTAAAAGCACATAGATAATCACAAAAATTTTCCATGTAACTACAATTTCTAGATTGCATCTCCATTTCTGGAGCCACACCTAGTCCGAATGGCCAAAGTGGATCAAAATAGAGTTCGATATATGGATTTACTCTGGAGGTATTATGAGAAGAACAGAAGTTTCAGTAGTGCTGCTCGTGTCCTATCCAAATTGGCTGACATGCACAGGTATGGCATGTAAGAGTCTTATTCTAAGGAATAGGACAGAGCTGTGTGTGTGGTTATATCCATTGGAACCCAGGGAGGCCAGCCTAGCAACATAGTCAAAGGAGTGGAAAGAGTGGTGAGGGCAGCTCACTGGTGGAGCACATACTTACCATTCACAAGGCCCTGGGTGATTTAGTCTCCAGTGACCTCCCCCTTAAAAAGCTGTGGCTGCTAGAGGAGTGAATCTCTATGTCCGTCTGAGGTTTCAGAGGACGGAGGGCGTGGTTAAGTTAGGTGCGAATACACAAAGCTTTCTTGACGTTCTTGCCCTCTATAATCACTCAATTCTGAAAGTTGCACTCACATACAAAATATGAAGTGACCTTAATTTCCGGTATAATAAAAGGCAACTTTCAATAGAGGTCTTTGTTAATTTGTTGCTTTTGTAGTTAAGAATTAACATTAATAGCCTGGTGTAGGTTGCACTTGGGAGGCAGAGTCAGGCAGATCTCTGTGAGTTTGAGGCCAGCTTGATCTACAGAGTGAGTTCCAGGACAGGCTCCAAAGCTACAGAGAAACCCTGTCTTGAAAAACAAAAAACAAACAAACAAAAGAGTTGATTGAGTTAGACTGTCAATCATTTGTCCATGGGTCTAGCTCACAGGAAAGCTAATTCACTAGCTCACAGGAAAGCTAATTCACTTGAAGACGTTCTAGGGACAGGGAGGGTTAATTAATTAATCCCTTAATGAGATAGTCTACGTAATCATAGTTACTTTTCTGAATTACTAGTTTTCATTTCTGTTTATGTCTAATCTATTTTTCCAAAGCTTTGATTTCCCTGGTGCTCTAGACTTGATCACTCTTTCTCTGGCTATCACCCAGGCCACAGAGATCCACCTGCCTTTGCTTCTGCCTCCTCTACCCCTCATGTGATTGCATACAAATAATTTTTCTTTCCATTTCTTTTCTAATCTTCCTGCAAGGGTTTACAGTTTATCTGCCCTAATGTTTTTCTGTTAAACACAGAAATCTGTTTGTACTTCATTTTATAATTCCTTTATTAATGAAACCACAAATGTAAAACAAGGAACCCCAATTTCTCCAAACATGCTTCCCAATGTGGTGTGCCCCAGTGATTCCAATAACAATAGGATTTTAGATTTTTGACATAAACATATTTGTTGACTGAAGTTATGGACTTCTCATTAGAAAGCTAAAGTAATTGACCAAACATGAAGGTTTACACCTATAATTCCAGCACTTCAAAGGTGGAGGCAGGGTGATTGATACGTGTTCCAGGCCAGTCAGGGTCTGCACAGTGAGAGAGGGATGGAGGGAGGGAAGAAGAAAAATAATTAGTTCTATTTAAAAAAAACACTAATAGATTCTTATTTCAAATAGCCAGTTTTGTTCTGGTCTTCAAAGAGTATGTCTTGGTATATTTGAACCTTCAGATTTTAAAACACAATATATCTAAAATTATGGATTTTCCCCCAGCACAGAAATTTCGCTTCAACAGCGACTAGAATACATTGCTCGAGCCATTCTTAGTGCTAAAAGTTCCACTGCCATTTCATCAATAGCAGCAGATGGTGAATTCCTTCATGAATTAGAAGAAAAAATGGAAGTAAGTACTAAGATATTTAGTCTTTGTCATGTAGGGTAGTAGCCACAGTTACACCACTGTCTGTCTTCTCTTCCCCCATGAATTGGAGTTCTGTTGAAGTCCTTATTAAGTGTAAATGCCTCTGTTTGTATATCTTTAATTATTGTCATGTTTGGATATAAATCTTATGAAACCTGTGTTTGGGACATAAGAGGCATAATTTCAGACATTTTTTCCATAGCATATGTACAGTTTTGTTTTATATTCCCAATTGTTCAGCAGCAATTAGATTGCATGGCATTCATCATTTATTCTGGGGTGGCCTAATAAGTAAATGTAAGGAGTAAACTGAACTGCTTTAACGAAGCAGTTTAATGACTCTCCATGACATGTTTGACTTCCTTTCTCCTTTCTGGAGTGAATTTAAGTCATATGGCATTGGCAGCTAAAGGTCCAGTGTAGAAATCTGTGTCCCGGTGATCTTTGAGATACTAATGGCAATTAACACTGGACAGCAAGCCTCCTTGTCACAGCTCATTTCCTGTGGCATCAGTTAATATGGAGAGAACAGTCTCTTGCAATTAAGCCTCTATTAGTATACTGTCTTCACTTTAGCAAGCAATCCTTTCAAGTACCTGTTGAATATCGTAAAGATATTAAAACGTCATGGTTTCTGTTGAAACTAGGTCGCTAGGATCCAGCTTCAGATACAAGAGACACTACAGAGGCAGTACTCTCGTCATTCTTCAGTGCAGGACGCAATTTCTCAGCTAGACTCTGAGCTAATGGACATTACTAAGGTACTGAAAAACCAGTGACCTTCCTATAATGCTCACCTTGTTTGTGGAAAGTTCCCTTTGATAGCTTGTCACTGGACAGCTGCTGCCCATGACTCCTCATATGACTCTTAGCAGAGCTGTTCCTGCCAAGCCCATCCCCAGTGTATCTCATGTGTATGTGTACATGTTTTAAAATGTTTGTTCCTAAGAATTTTGTATAATGGCTACTCAACTTGCATCTATTAGTCTCTGAATACTGACTTGTAGTTGAATGTTTAATTTTGGGATTTCTTTCCACAGCTTTATGGGGAATTTGCTGATCCATTTAAACTTGCAGAGTGTAAACTTGCAATCATTCATTGCGCTGGTTATTCAGATCCCATATTGGTGCATACACTTTGGCAGGATATCATAGAGAAAGGTAAGTGCCCATGTACTTTTTAGTGACGCAGAAGAATACAAGCTGCTAGCCTTAGCTAATATATCCAGTGCTTATGAAAATGTGCTCTATGTGCCCAATAGAAAGGACGTAGAGAACATATGTATGCAGTGGAAGAGTGATTATACAGTGACTCTGGTGAATATTTGGGAGCATGCTCAGTGAAAATATATATATAGTTTATAAACAATTTCATCAAAATCTTGTAACTAATACTGTAGTGAAATATAAATCAGATGCTCATAGAAGCGTAGAGTCTGCTAATTACATTCATGCAAATATCAGTCGTGACATATTTTGAATATTGAAGCTATTAAGTAGCCAATATGTAAATATTTCACATGAAAAAAAAATCGTGATTTCTATTGACATGTCTCTTCCAGAATTGAATGACAGTGTAACATTGAGCTCATCAGATCGAATGCATGCCCTCAGTCTCAAGCTTGTCCTCCTTGGCAAGATTTATGCTGGCACACCTCGTTTCTTTCCTCTAGGTAAGTGGTAACCTTGCTATATATTACTTCCTGTTAGATTTCCCCATTGGAAAACTTCATTAGCCTTTAAAGCAGAATATAGATTTTCTTGTTGCCATTCATCTATATACTATTTAGTTCAGTTTTGTTGTGGTTTTGGTTTTCAAGAAAGGGTTTCTCTGTGTAGCTTTGGAGCCTGTCCTGGAACTCTTTCTGTTGACCAGGCTGGCCTCGTACTCTGCCTGCCTCTGCCTCTGGAGTGCTGGGATTAAGGGTATGCACCACCACCCTTCTAGTTCAGCAATTTTAATTCTCAATCTCCAGATAGAATCCCTGAAGAGTAACAGAATTTGATAGTTGACTATGAAATTTTCTCTTGAGTAGCTTTCCAACTTTCTCTATCAATTTTGGAATTAAGCTGACTGATAATATTGTTCAAATAAAGTTTAAGTGATTATACTTTTGGGAAAACCATTGCTGGTGTCAAGAAAAAATGGCTGATAATTGTATGTATTGGTTATTTGAGATTCAGCTCTTCTCTACTTCATTAAGAGGAGTGCAAACATGAGTGTGCATGTATGTGACAGCATTTGTCTCTGAAGGCCACACTCTCATCTCCTCTCCCGCTCTATCAGTTCCTCTTGTCCTTCCTCACTTCTTCCCTCCCTGTTTTTTTTTTTTTCTTCCTGTGTGTAGTCCTTTGGTTTGAACCCATGTCCTAGTACATGCTAAGCAGGTTTTGTACCACTGACCTACACTGGGCCAATGCTTGAGTTTTTTAAATAGGTCCTAACTACATAGTTCCGACTGGTCTTAAACATGGGATCCTTCTACCTCACCTTCTTGTGTTCTGGAATCACAGGCATGTGTTAGCATGTTTGGTTCTTCTTTTTGTCAAAGAACTGTTAGACTGAAATTTTATATCTGAACTTGTTTTTTGACCAAATATGCTGAGTGTAATTGTTATGAGCCAATTGCTAACGCACAGTTTTCTTTCTCTTATGAAAACAATAGCTGTGAAGTAGGGTACTAAATACTTATTACATTATTTTTAAAAACTGAGAAATAGGAAAATATTCATAATCACACATTAAATCACCTATTTTGTCTGTCTTAGCCTTGTACATGTTAAGCAAGTGACACTGAGTCATACACCATCCCTAAATCCTTTGCTGTTTTTGAAATGAACATTCAGACTTAAAGACCATCTCAAATGCTAAGATCTCTTTGTTGTTAGTGATACTTAAAACTGTATTGTGTCCACGCCACTAAACTGATAGGAAAGTAAGGAAACTGGCTGTTAGGAGCCTTTGCTGCTCTTTCAGAGGACCTGTGTTTGATGCCTAGAACCCTCATAGCAGTTCACAAATAGCTATCATTCCAGTTCCAGGAACAAAACCCTCTTCTGGCCTATGGTACAGATAAACTCATGAATAATATACATGCAGGTAAAATTAATAAATGAAGATATTGATTTATGTTGTATTTGGATTTTGATAAGTAAATAGAAAGTTGTGGGACCATTTGTATGTGGGACCTTAAGTATGTGGGACCATTTGGTCTTTTGGCTTTGGTTTAGATTATTAATTATTTTAACCATGTGCTGTGCTATGCTGTGTTGTGGAGTTTAGATTAGCACAGGTTCAATGGTTTTAACAAGCTCCACAAGATTTCAGACAGTCCTGGCACTTAGGAGGCCGAGATGGCAACACTGTTGATAGTTCAAGGCCAGCCTGGTCTACATAGCAAGTTCTAGTCCATCCAGGATTCCACAGTGAGACTCTGACTTTAGAAGAAAAAAGAAGGAATCTTAGTATTTTCTCTTAAGTCTTTAAATAGTAAATTCCAGACTGGATGGTGGCACACATTTTAATCTTATTACCGGGGAGACACAAGCAAACTTATCTCGTGAGTTCAAAGCCATCTTGGTCTACATAGTTCCAGAGCAACTGCATAGAGACCCTGCCTCAAAAACAAGTAAATATAAATTCAGCAGTAATCACAAGTTCAAGTTTGTTTCTGTTTTGTGATAACTCTTGTTTGTGGGCTTTTAAAATGGTTGTTTACAGATTTAAAATATCATAATTAAGTTTTGTTAAAGCGTATTTATAATAAGATAGTAATGACTGTTAAGAATGAGACCATAATTGGATCTTTTAAAATGCTTATTTAGCCAAGAGTTTTGGCACTTGCCTGTAATCCCAGCAAACGGGAAGCTGGGACAGGAGGGTCAAGCATTTAAGGTTGTTCTCAGCCAACCTGGGCTCTATATGGTCTCTGCCTGGAAGAAGAACTAAGTACACCAAAGGTGGCACATTGAAAACATCTGAAGGAGTTGGGGTATAGTAGTCCTTTCTGACAGGCTATTGAGTATATTCTTTTTTTTTTTTTTTTTAAAGAGATATTGCAGTTATCAAGTTCTCTCTAATAGACTATTCTTCTCTACATTCCTTCAGATTTTATAATTTTCTCCTAATATCTTTAAAAGTGTACAGTTTAATGGTTTTAATACAAACCCAACCCAAATCTAATTTTAGCAAAATTTTACCATTCCCAAAAGGAACCCTGTTCTCAATAGTTAATCGCTTCTTATTCTTTCCTTCCTTTTAGCCCTCAGCAACTACATGCTTGCTCTCTGTCTCCAATGTTTTTTGTTTGTTTATTTGTTTAGAGATAGGATAACCTGGAGAGTTCCTAGTAAGCTAAACTGATTGGTCAGCAAGACCCAGGGACTCACTTGTCTCTGGCTCCCCACCGCTGGGATTACAAGGTTGTATCACCACATCTGCCTCTTTTTTTATGCTGCCAAACTTTGTTTTGATGCTTTAAAAACAACTGTTTTCCCAAATGACCTGCCTCCTAGCCCCCAAATGTGCTTGAAATTCATTTTCAGATAGCCACTAGAAACTCGTTTAATAATAAACAGTTTGCTGAGTCAAGAGTTCCATATTTCTGAGCCTGGGTGCTGATTTAGCAGTAAGAGCACTTGTTGCTCTTGCAGAGGACTTGATTATAGTTCCCAGCATCCACATGAGGGCTCACAAATGTCTGTAACTGCAGTTCTAGAGATGTGATGCCTTCTTCCAGCCTCCACTGACACCAGGCATGCACATGGACTACATACGTATATGCAGGCAAAGCATTCATCTGAATTTATTTTTTTCTTTTCCAGATTTTATTGTGCAGTTCTTGGAGCAGCAAGTTTGTACATTGAACTGGGATGTGGGTTTTGTGATACAGACCATGAATGAAATTGGAGTGCCTTTACCTAGACTGCTAGAAGTCTATGATCAGCTTTTCAAGTCACGGGTAAGGAAAACAAAATCTTTCCTGAGTTTCCCTTGAGGTGTTTCAATTTATGTTTATAGGTATCTTATTATTTAGGCTGTGTATTTTCAGTAGAGATTTGGCTTCAAGTGTGCAAGTAAAATAAACTTTGGACTCTTATTTGAGGGTTGCTTTGCTTTGAATTGTTTGTTTGTTTGTTTGTTTTTTGAGACAGGGTTTCTCTGTGGTTTTGGAGCCTGTCCTGGAACTCGCTCTGTAGACCAGGCTGGTCTCTAACTCACAGAGATCCACCTGCCTCTGCCTCCTGAGTGCTGGGATTAAAGGCGTGTGGCACCAACATGAATAATTAGGAAAAAAACACACACACACACACTTGATGAGTTGTAAAAATAAACTGTGTCTGTGTATACATACATATTTTTTTTTCTTCGTAGGATCCATTCTGGAACAGAGTGAAAAGGCCATTGCACCTTTTGGATTGTATCCATGTTTTACTGACAAGATATGTTGAGAATCCTAGCCAAGTTTTAAATTGTGAAAGGTATCTATAAATGAAATATTGTATTATGGAAAAGGTTTTCAGTGTTTCTACTAAATACTTGGGTAACAAGTGGGAAGTGGGTATGGAATGCTCTTAAAGCAGTGGTTCTCAACCTTCCTGATGCTGTGACCCTTTAATACAGTCCCTCAGGTCGTGGTGACCCCGACCATAAAATTATTTTTGTGCCTACTTCATATCTGCAGTTTTGTACCTTTACGAGTTGTAATGTTAATATTGATATGCTATCTCTAAAGGGGTCGTTGCCCAGAGGTTGAGAACCACTACTCTAGATATTACACAAAGGCAATAGAGAATGTTATGGATACATTTGCAGTAACTGTTTGAATGATCATCTAACATTAGCATTCACAAAATATCAGAAAAGTTTTCAGCTGTGGTCCTAAGTTTTCTAAAGTGAAAGTTAGTTCACAGACTACCTTATGCTCCTTCTTATGAATAAGGACCAAGACATTTCAGTTATGTCTTCGTGGTATGATTTCAGGGGAAAGTCTTTAAAAGCTTAAAGGATGTAAATACTGTAACAGGAGTCATCCTTTAATGCATCCAGCTAACAGTCTTCACCTACATTCCCCTCTCTATTTCCTGCTACTTACCATTTACTATTATCTAATCCTTACTTTTCAAATGACTATAAGAAAGTTAATCAAAACTTGGTTTGAAACAGCTCTTTGAAGGAAGTGGGTTTGAGTGTAGATGGTTGGTGGTCTGAATCAAGGGCTCAGTGATTAAGAGAACTTTCTGCTTTTTCAGAGGTCCTGAGTACAAGTTCCAGCAACCCCATAGCAGCTAATAGCCATTCATAACAACAGTTGCAGGGTTCTGATGTCCTCTTCTAGCCTCCGAGGGAGGGTATGGGACATGTACATGGTGCATATACACACATGTGGGCAAAGCACTCATACATAAAAATGAATGAATGAATCTTCAAGAAAAAAGTAAATGGGTGACCTGCTGTCTTTCCCTTTCCAGGAGAAGATTTACAAATCTCTGCCTGGATGCTGTTTGTGGTTATCTGGTTGAACTCCAATCAATGAGTTCTTCAGTGGCAGTACAGGCCATCACTGGGAATTTTAAATCTCTCCAAGCAAAGTTGGAACGGCTTCATTAATTATTGTAGTATATTTTCCCCTCTTGAATTTTGGTCTGTAAAATAAAAAAGATCAGCTGGGTCCAGAAAACAGGTGTTGTATATCTAAAAATTTTGATAGAAATTTGTTTTTAATAAGTGATCATTAGGCACAAGTAGTACATTTGTCAAATTAATTTTTTTATGACTAGTGTTTTGTTTTGATTTTGATTAGCTGGGTCTGGGTTTGTAGATCTTGGTAGAACGTTTGTATAGTATGTAAAATGCCCCTGAATTCCGTTTCCAGCACCACACACAAACACATCAATTTGCAAAAACCTGAAATAAGATTATGTATGATTCTGACACACAAAGATAATGTTCTTACTTTACATTTTACTACTGGCAACAATTTTGAATTTGTATTACTTCCATGTTTATCTAGTAGCAGAATTTCTAAGCTATGCCAGGTGTGGTGGCACAGTTTAAATCCACTATTTGGGGAGACAGTAGCAGGCATATTTCTAAAACTCACAGAGTTCCAGGCCAGCTAGGGCTACATAGTGAAACCTTGTCTCAAAACAAACAAAACCAAAACACCTTATAGGCTGGGTCTGTTCCCATAGCACTGGATTCTATAACAGTCCTTAAATATGCATTTTTTAAAGTTAATTTTTAGAAAATTTTCTGAACCACTAATTGTATCAATTACAACCTTTTAGGATTTCTCTCCCTCTTTCTTTCTTCCAGTCACCATAAATATGTACAGTAGATTTTTTTATGTATACATTTTTAGGTGTGTATGTATATGTATATATATGTGCTGGATATGTATGTATTTATATACAGAATTGTTTGAATGTTCGATAAACTTGTAACACTGTTTGAGTATTTAAAACCTACATGATCAGCCAGCTGTGGTACAGTGCTTGAGAGGCAGAGGCAGAGAAACTCTTGAGTTCAAGGCTACTCTGGTCTACATATTGAGTTACAGGTCAGCCATAGCTTCCCTAGAATCCTCACTCTCAGAGTGTGCTTCAAGCCAACAATAGCAGCATCCTGGAATTTGTTACAAATTAAATTCCTGGGTCTCCTAATATAAACGCCTATGTTTGTGTTTTAACAGCCAGCCCTTCACTTCACATCAAGAACAACCCACTTGTAGATCCTACTGTTTTCTGTAGCTTATGGATTGAATTCCCTCTCTGATTTGATTTCTCCAGCCCCTTGCTTACCAGTGACCACAACCACAACACAAGTCTTACTCAAGACATAATGGATAAAGCAAATTTGTTAGTAGTCTAGTTTTTAAGTTTTCTTAATGGTGCCAAGTTGAATCCAGGGTCTTTATCCTGAGCAAGTAAGTCCTCCACCGCTGAAGTAGTACCCTCAGTCCCTGAATTATCTTTAACATGCAGGATTGCTAATCTAAGTCTTCCAAGGTATTATCAATGATGAAAAAGGGAGAATGACTAAGGCTCACAAAGAAAAACAGAAGTCCTTTCCACTCTCCTTAGTTTTGTTTTATTTTTCCCAGCAGAGTCTCACAAGGCCTAGGCTAGAGTCAACTGCATAGCCACCTAGAGTGATCTTGAATTTCTGATCATCCAGCCTCCACCACCTGAGTGCTTCACCACGCCCACTGGGCAGTAACCCAAGGTTCCATACATGCTGGGAAAGGACTTTTATCAACGGAGTTATGTTCCCAGCTCCCCGTTCTCCAACCCCCTTTTTTGGCAGGATCTCACTATGTAGCCCAGACTGGCTGCAGCCATACCCTGATCCTCCTGCCTCAGTCTTCTAAGCATATGTCACCATACCCAACTTCCATTCTGATTTATGGGGTGTTTTCTTACGTGTTTTCATGTCACTATTGAAGTCTGACAGTTTCATAAATATATCTTGAATATGTTTCAGCTTCTTTTTTTTTTTTTTTTTCTACTACTTTTATGTTTTCCTAAGATTGTAGATTTTTTTGTTTGTTTGTTTTTCAAGATAGGGTTTCTCTGTATTGCTTTGGAGCCTGTCCTGGAACTCACAGAGATCTGCCTGCCTCTGCCTCCCAAGTGTTGGAACTAAAGGTGTGTACCACCAACACCTGGCAAAACTAACTTTTACTCTTTAATGATTCATTTATCTGCATTGGTGTTTGCCTATATGTATGTCTGTATAATGGTGTTGGATCCCCTGGACCTGGAATTATAGACATGTGAGCTACCACATGGGTGCTGGAAATTGAACCCTGGTCCTCTGAAAGAGCAGCCAGTGCTCTTAACCATTGAGCCAGCTCTCCAGCTGGATTGTAGATTTCTTTTTCCATATATTTTTGTAAGAATCCAGCTTCCCTGTATATTTCATAAAAGATCAAAATTCCGGGACAGTCTTCAAAGCCACAGAGAAACCCTGTCTCAAAAAAAACAAACAAGAAAGAAAGAAATAATTTTAGCCCCTCAGCAAATGTTGCATTGACCTCCCTAAGAGAAAAGACACCATTAGTACATTGTTGCTAAAACTTGAACATTCATCAAAGGAAACTATCAGGATGGCCTGTCTACTCAGTTACTTGGCTTGTACCTGCAAAGGTGTGCTGATCCTGGAAGCCTAGTTAGATGTAGCAGGGGCAATGTTCTAGCATTGTCCACTGTCTGTGTAAGTATGCTTTGTTCCTTGTCAGGGGGTGACCTTATGTTGTTACTGTTCATATGTGTAAGCGGTGGGTAGTTGGTGGGGCATTTTAGGAAGGTGCATTGTTTGTGGACAGTTGTGTCACTGAAGGTCTTGTGATGTACTTATGTTGTTAGATAGTTTCAGTGTGGCAGAATGGTTAGAGAAGAGACAAACTATTTACATGTTTATGTAAGATACATGTTGACCTGACAATATGTGTTTGACAAGTTTTTAATTGTTTACTAACTAGTGACGTTATTGAACACTTGAATCACCTTAGCTTCTCTTTATGTTTTATAGTTTAATCCCAGAAGTCTTTCACAGATTGTTCATTCTCTTCCTTAGGATACTTTGTATCTCCATGTTTCCCCTCTCCTTCACTAGAGGAAAAATGGCAGTAATACAATCATGGCAAATAAATGAAGAACTAAAACCCCAAACCTGAGGTGTAAAAGAAATTAGTGTTTTCTTGAATATTCTCTTTCAGTGTCTTTACTTAAATTGTTTAATTATAACACTTTTCAGAACACTTTTGAGTTCACTACCAAAACCTAAACTCTTTATTCTGTGTTCATATATAAGTGAACAGGTTGAAGCTAAATGGTAAGCCTCTTAAGACTAAGTTTTTAATAAGAAATAATACTATTTTAAATTGCCTTCTTTATTGTTTTTTCTTCAATACTAGAGATTAACTGCCATCAGTTTTTACTTTCTCATTTTAACTCATTCCTATAGCAATATACAACATGTTTGAAATTAAATATTTATCTTAGTTATTATCACCTAGTCTTCATATGTCACTCCATTTCTCCTAAGGGTGAAAAATGAGAGAATGATTATTTTTACATGTTAATTTACTATGTCAGATCCTGGTTCCTGGCAGCGTGTCTCCAACCCACACTTGATTGACTCTGAGCTTACTTAACCTCTGTGGAAGCCTGAGCAGGACTGAGTGCATCCCCACCTCACCACCATGCCACATGCTCCTTTATCTTCTACCTTCAGTCCTTACTGTCTACTTTTAAAGATACAAATGTGATCATTCTCTCATTTTTACCTTTAGAAGACGTGGTTGGCATATGAGGATGGGATGACTAGTAATAAAAGCAGCAAAAGTCTGGCACTCATTTAGCACAAGAATGAATGGACCGGCAAATTCGAAAAGCTGGTGTTTGGCTTTCCTCATGGTCGATTCAGAGCCCCAATAGCTTCAGGTCTGTAACTCAAAAGCCTCTTTAGTTTTCCCCAGGCTGGGATTACTGCCATAAACCACCATGCCCTATGGTCTTCGGGCTGCACTTTTTATCTTTGTTCTTTGTGCCTTTACAGTCAGTTTGTCCCATACATAGCTCATCGAAAAGTATGGGCAAGAGTTACTGTTAGCTGTAACCTGGAAGTGTGGTTAACAGAAAAAGGTCTGCAAAAGGGTGCAGATTTACCTGTCTCCAGCATGATCTCAGTCTTGGAGTTAAGATTCTCACCTAAACAGTATGAATCCAGAAAAGGGTACTTTTGCCAAAAACAGGATGCCTAAGATCTGTCTGCATCACCACTTCCTTTATTTTAATGAAAATTGCAAGCCTTCAGACCCAAGAAATCTAAAGCAGAGCTGGATATACAAGGCCACCCCAAGACTCATAACCGAATTCTTAGCAGACTGAGGAGGAAGTACTAGAACTTAGCCCAATAAAGGACAACTGAAATGAACAGCTAAAATCATATAGAGAAAAATTAAACGATTTCTTTACAGAGAATAAAATCAGACTGTCTGCCTTTCAATATGTGCAATATGGCAGATGAAATCTTGATATGGGAATGAGAACAACTATGCAGGAAAGATGTCTTGGTGTACATGAAGACCTTAGTTTGGATCTTCAACACCCACATAAAAAGCCAGGCAAGTTGCTATATGCATGCAATTTCACCACAGAGCTGGTAGGCAGAGACAAGGATTCCTAGGGCTCACTGGTCAGCCATTGCAGGCAAATAAAATGAGCTTCAGGTTCAATGAGAGACTTTGGGAGGGGTGGAATGAAGAGGGATTAGGAAGAATGTCCCTTAAAATTGACCTCAGACCTCCATGTGTACATATAGAAAAGCAAAAGTGAATGCCTTTATTCACAGAAAATTGTCTACATGAAAAATTATACAATGTACAAAAGGAGCCAAGTAACCAGAACTAGTAGAACTAAATTTAGCAAAACCCCTAGGTTATGAAGTCAATGTGCAAAATCCATTTGGATTTCCATATACCAGCAGCAAGTAATGAAAAACTTGTCATCAAGAGTGGAATGTGCCTGCAGTCCAGGCACTTGGGGAGATAGCTGAAACGGGTTGTTTAGCCCAGAAATTTGAGGTCAGTCTGGGCAATGTAGCAAGTCACTGTCTATAAATGAATATTTTGCCTACATGTATGCCTGGTGCTCACAGAGGTCAAAAGGGATCAGATCCCCTGGAACTTGAGTTACAGGTGGTTGTGAGCCACCATATGGTTGTTGGGAACAGAACCCGGGTCCTCTATAAGAGCAGCCAGTGCTCTCTGAGCCATCTCTCCAGCCCAAGAAACGTTAAATTTAACTGAAGTTTAATGTATAAGATCTGAAAACTACCTAAAAGTACTACAAAAAAATTGAATGAGGAAAAATAAAGATTTGTTCTTACCAAATGGATGTACAAACTAAGTGCATTCCTAATCAAGTTCCTAGCTGACTTTTTAAAACTGAAGATTGCCAGATTATAAAATGCATATGGAGGATCCGTGAGGTGGTTCAGCTGTTATAGATGCCTACCATCAGGCCTGATGACCTGAGTTTATTGCCAGGACCATGTGGTAGAAAGGAGAGAACTGACTCCTATGTGTTGTCTTCTTACTTCCACATGTGTTGACACACGAACACAAAACATAAAAAAAATTTTCCTACAGAGTTGTTGATCTAGATGACCCAAACAATATGAGCTCTCCTGTTGCATTTGGTTGCTTTCCAGAAGTTGAAGGTAAGTCCTTATTGCTGAAGACACCACACACTTCACACAGTACTCAGAAGACCTGAGCTGGATCTTTTTTTTTTTTTTTTTTTTTTTTTTGGTAGAAAAATTTTTAATAAAACAAGTTTACACATTTGACACTTATGGCTTAACTAGAATAATTTTTGTCCAATTTAAAATTGTACTACGGACAAAACAGAAGACTGGTGTATATATAACATACAGCATTTGCCCAAAACAGTAGTTCAATCGTAAAAGGAAAAGTCCAATTATTGATTAATTCAAAATTCTTTTCATAAGTGAAAACAATTATCTGAGAAATCAAGATCAGTATAATCAGACCACACACAAACACTGGTATTAAGTCACTTTCCCATTAAATTTCAAAGCATAGTAATGAACTTTTCCTACTGGAAACCAATAACTGACGTGATTATTCAGAATACCTTTGAAATGCTATCCCTTAATTTAACAGACTGTGATAGTCTACATTTGTGCATATGGACTATCTAGTTACTACTTTGAAACATCTGATGTTTCTACCTTTTACTTTTGTAATCCTGTGATGTCTGATACAGAAACTAAATACCAATCCCTTGTTTTCAATTATGTTAACTTCCTTATTTATATTTACCACTTAAGCATCATGGGTTGATTACAATTAAAAAAAAGGGGGGGGCACCTTAATGTGTGACCTTCTTAAAGAGTGTAAGATTTAAAACAAACTAGTTTTAGGTTGTTGTGACTAGTAAATATTGTAAATGAACTTTCTATATATACCCAGTCTGTTCTCTTTAGTTCTGACTCCAATGAATTCCCAGACCTAAAACTAAATTACTTTCAAAAGTTAACAGATTTGTACCTTCTAAAACAATCATTTGGATGTCTAGTTGTCATACAGACTACACATTATTACAAAGAAGCAAGTTAATGCAGCACAATAGACTGAAGTTAAAGTCAACTTGTGATAAAAAGGAGTGAGTGCTTAGAAGTAACATTCATTTTATCAACCATAAAAATGCTCAACTTCTAAAAAACCCACAAACAGTGGAAAGACAGTCTGGTAAATCCAAGATTTATAAAAACTGCACAAAACCCACAGTATTTGGGAGAAAAGGAACAATTTATACAAGTAGCAGTTTGAAAATGTAACTGGCCTACTACCAATTACACATGAACACACACACTAACCAGAATACACTAGTCATGTCTACAAAGCAGGCGAACCTTTATAAGTAGGTTTCCCTCACACTTGAACTGGATGGAGCTGTTAATACTGCACACAGAAAATTAGTAATAATTTTTACTTTTACACAAACATAAAGGGATTTTCTTCCCCTAAACTACTTAAAACCTCAAAACCTATGCTTATAAAAATTTAACCCTTTCAGCAGCTTAAGTATTTCAAAATGAAGCCACTCACAACAGACTTCACATATTCTTTACACCCCACAACTGCCAACCTAGTTATCTAGTGGTGATTCCTTCAGAGATAATTTAGCCTCTCTCTCTTCTCCAGATGACTTTTTCTTACTGCTGGCCTTGTGGCTGTCTTTGCTTTCTTCATTACTGTCACCATTATGTTGTGGATGACTACTGTCTTGAGTGTCAGATCCTCCATTTAAGGTCTTTGAACCTGTTTGTTCCTTTTCTAGCTTTTTGTTTGGCCCTTTCTTCCCTTGATCTTTGGTTTTATTTGCTTCCTCATGCTGTCTTTGTTCAGCAAGGGATTTGTTCAGCACTTGGGTGATGACTGAATCTCCTTCACCAACCAAAAACATGTTCTTAAACTTGTTATATAACATTGTAGACTTTTCCATGATAACTTGACTAACTTTGAACCGCCGTATTTTCTTCAGGGTTGTGATGATCTCTGTGTGTTTCTGAGCTTGCTGCATTGTTACCTGAAGTGAAGCAAGTTCATCCAGTGCCTCAATGCATCTGTTCACATCTAGATTATCAATTTTGAGTGAATTTTTAATTTCAGCATGTATCCTTTGAAGTCGAGAATCCATTGATGTTTCTCGCTTCTTCTCCACTTTCTTAACTTCTGGCTTCTTTCCTTCATCTTTATTCTGCTGCTCAGTTTCCATTTGTTCCTCTTGCTTGCGTTTCCGCTCTGCAGCTTCTTTCTCATGTTGGCCTTTCAGCAAGTTCCTTCTGTGAGCAGTCTGGAAGTTTCTTCCACCCTTTCTCTTCTTTTCACCTTCTTGATCATCTTCATCTTCTGAATCAGAGGTTGATGTAACCCCTGGTTTAGCTAAATTTTTCCGTTTAGATTCCACTTCTTTCTTCCCCTCTTTCTTATCTGGTTCTTTTCTTGACTTATCCTCTTCCTTTTGACTTTCTTCTTCCTTTTTAAGCTGCTTTTTAGGTTGTTTTTCCTCTGGCCCTTTTTTTTTTTTTTTTTTTTTTTTTACTTTTGTCTTCATCAATAACCATGTCACTCTCTGAAGGACAAGGCTGTTTTACCACTTTAGGTCTGCCTCTTGGTTTTGGAATCTTGACTTCAGTAACTGCAGGTCGTCCTCTCTTAGGACTTGCTTTCAAGTTAGCAGAAGCTGTTGCTGCAGCCACCATTCCTGCTTCTTCACTTTCCACTTGTTTTTCAGCCTTTCTCTTTCTTCCTCGCCTGGCAGCTTTTGGAGTGGTTATGTCGACTGCTTTAGTCACATCTTCATTGCTGGCTTTTTCTTCATGATCAGTATCTTCCTTTGAAACACTAGTTTCTTTTTCTTTAACTTCAACATCAGATGATGCATTTGATTGTTTAGTTGATGCCTGTTGACTTGAAAATTTCACTTTTGGATTGTTATCTATCTCCCATAATCCTTCATTGAAACCTTTTCGTTTATTTGGTTTGCCATACTTCTCCTTATTTTCTGAGTAAGGAAATATGTCCTTTGGTCCTAAAAAAGCAGTCTCATGGGTTCCAAAAAAGATAATGGGTAGTTTGTTTGTGGGTGGTTTCACAGCTCCATCAGGAACTTCATCTGCTCGAGCTGGCCAATGAGGATAACCTTTCATCTTGGCGAAGATGAGGTCTCCAGGTTTGAAATCGCGAGTCATGTTTGAGGGGCGATGCCAGGAGTCCCAAGACCAGAAGGGGGAGTAGCGATCGGGAGATGCGAGCGCAGACACGAGCTGGGACTGGCGGGCCCGCGGGCGGGGGAGGATGCCTCGGGGTGTCCCGACGCTGGAGCTGCGGGGCGCGCTGGCCGCCTCTGCCCACGTCCACGCCGGCCACCTGCGCCACCAGCTGCCGCAGAGGGGTCTCAACGGCTCGGAGCTGCAACCGCCACCACCACTGCCGCCGCCGTCCCTGAGCTGGATCTTGTCGAGCGCTATTGCCTTTCCTGCAAGAACAATGCTCAACAACAGGATTCTTCTGCAGCTATGTTTATTGCGGGAGCAGCTCATTACAGCAAGTTGAGGGAAGACCCCGAGGAGGAAAAAGGGCTCTGCTTATATATGCTCAGAGGAGTCGTGTCCGTTACTGACAGGTGCAGCCCGCAACGCTCGTAACGGTCACCCCATGACGTGGATCGTGTATCCGCGCCTTGCTGGCTTATGGACAGAGAACCAGTGCCATCTTCGGGAATGGCACCGGTGGCTCTCTACACCTTTTTTGTTTTATAAACGCAACAGGCAAGGGTAGTGGTCTGATCTCCAGTAACGAGATGGACATTGTAATGACCCTGAATCCTGGTAGTCAGCCAAGTCAGTGCCATACCCGTCCAGCATCTTTTCCCTGGAGGTGGGGCCTTGGACACCAACCCACATGCAACCAGACTTGCCCTTCTCGGAGCTGCTCATGGCCAGAGTCAATCCGGAGTGCAGTGCTAAGCCAAACAACCTGAGCGTGAAGAATTTATTACAGTAGGCTAAACTAAAGAAGCACCTGTCTGCGTGCAATGGGAAAAAAAAAAAACCCGCAAAGCGTTAGGGTTGTTTCTGGTAAAAAAAAAAAAAAAAAAAAAAAAAATGGACACCCTAACCTGGTGCAATGTCATAGAAGACTCAGGGTGCAAGGGCTGTCCTATTGGACAATTAATGTCCATTTTTTAACATGCTTAGCCACACAGTGGGAGAGGAGCCTATCTCCATAGCAGCTAGGGCTTGAGCGATAACTGCTTTGTCATGTGTCTGTTGAGCACGTAGCTTACACACCAACCAGAGCAGGAGCACCACCCCACCACATAACAGCAGGCCAAACCCCATTACACCTGCCCACTCCTTAAAGTGGGAAAAAGTGGTGGAGATCCAGGAGAATGATCTTTCTGATAGGCGTCCACACGGGTGGAATTCACATGGACGATGGCCATTCGGCTATCAAATTCTCCTGTCCATTCACCTAAAAGATACTGAAAAAGTTGTTTAGAAAGGTTACTCGTGCATCATGACTGGGCATGGGTTTAGGAAACACCGACAGTATTCCCCATCTGGGTTCCGCTGATATCCACGGAGGATTCACAAGGAGTATCATCAACCACAGGAGCCGCAGGAGCATCTTCTTGAGGGATGGTTGTCACTCTTCGAGATAATCGCTCTGGTACCCAAATTGGATTTTCTCCGTCCTGTGGAAAAACACAAATAGCTCCCCTGGATCTTATTAAGCTAGGATCCGGGCCTTTCCATGTACCTGAGAGCACATCTTTCCATTTGACTTGTTCTTTTGGAGGTATAGGCCAGAGGCCATGTCTATCAGCCGCTGAATGACCATTAAAACCCAAATTTAAAAAATTTAAAGGAGTGAAAAAGATATGGCGGCTTTTGGTGGGAGAGAGGGCATTTCCTCTATTCCCCCTTTTTGTTTTATTAGATAAGATTTGAGCGTCCGATTGACGCGTTCCACAATGCCTTGCCCTTGTGGATTATAAGGTAGACCAGTGAGGTGTTTGACACCCATCTGTTGACAAAAATGTTTAAATTTTTCAGAAGTATATGCAGGTCCATTATCTATCTTCAATATTTGAGGCATGCCCCAAGCACTCCAGGCTTCGAGGCAGTGCTGGATGACATGAGAGGCCTTTTCCCCTGTTAGTGGGGAGGCATGGATAATACCCGAGCAGGTATCCACGGAAACATGTAAATATTTCATTTTTCCAAAAGATGACACATGAGTGATATCTATTTGCCATATTTGTAGAGGCCAAAGGCCTCGTGGGTTAATGCCCACATGAGGTGCTGGAAGAAATTCAGAACAATTTTTGCATTGCAAGACTATTTCCCGTGCTGATGCTCTGGAAATAGAAAAACGCTTGTGCAGGGTTTCTGATGTTACATGAAATAATGAATGAAATTTAGTGGCTGCTTCTATAGGGTCTAAAATAGCAAAAGCTGCTGCTCAAGTGGCCAAATCTGCCAGATTATTCCCTTGTGCCATTGGCCGGGGCAGACCTGAATGGGCACGGATGTGGGTAATGAAAACAGGATATTGTCTTGCTAAGAAACATTTTTGGATCTCCTTAAACATCTCAGCCACTGTACTAGAAGGCTTAATTAATCCAGACAATTCTAAGGTTTTAACAGCATTGACTACATAAACAGAGTCAGAGACCACATTCAAAGGTCCAGGAAACACCTTTAATACCTCCAAAACTATGTTACATTCTACCATTTGTGGGGAGTCTGGTGCATATCTGTGAGTGGTAACAACTCCTTCATGTACATAAGCCCCTATTCCTGTTTTTGATCCATCTGTATACACTATCTCCCCATCAGGGAGAGGCGTGGCACTTACCATTTTTGGAAAAATCAAAGGATGTGTTCTAGCAAATGTTAGTAAAGGATGTTTGGGATAATGGTTATCAAAAGTTCCCAAGAAGGTAGAGGCAAGAATTGCCCAATCATCACTCATAGCACATAGGGTCTGAATTTGTTCCATATTATAAGGTGTAATAATTTGCTTAGGAAACTCCCCAAAATGGGTAAGAGCAGTTTTTAAGCCCTTCAGGGCATTTTTTGCAACAGCAGTTGGATAATATTCTATAGTTTTTGCTGGGGAAGCTTGAGGGTGTATCCAAATTAATGGACCATTTTGCCATAAGACTGCAGTTGGCAGTAAAGCAGTCTGTAACACACAAAGATCAAAAGGCTCCTGCGCTGAGATTCTAACTAATTGTGCTGCAGTGATCGCCTGCCCCACCTTATGGAGAGCTTCGGCAGCTGCAGGAGATAGGGTTCTTAATGAAGTCAATTGTGGATCCCCTTCAAGCACATCAAACAATGGTTTTAACTCTGCTGTGGGTATTTTTAAATAAGGCCATAGCCAATTAATATCTCCTAGTAATTTTTGAAAATCATTCAAAGTTTTAAGTTGATCTCTTCTAATCTCCATCTTTTGAGGTTGTATAATCTCTGGTCGCACAACAGCCCCTAAGAACTGTCCTACTTCCGACCTTTGTACTTTCTCTGTAGCTATGCTCAGACCATATTTCTCCAACCATTTTACCAAATCTGCATAAGCCTTTTCAAGCTCTTTCTCATTATTCCCACAAAGAAGAATATCCATATAATGAATAATTCTTAGAGAAGTATATTTTTCCTTAACTGGTGCTAATGCCTGTTGTACATAAAGTTGACACATAGTGGGGCTATTGGCCATGCCTTGGGGCAACACCTTCCATTGAAACCTCTCATCTGGTCCCTCATAATTAATGGCCAGTAAAGTGAAGGCAAATCTAGCTCTATCTTGCTCAAACAATGGAATAGAGAAAAAACAATCCTTAATATCTATTATAATAACTTGTCAATGCTTAGGTAAAGCTGATAAAAGTGGAAGGCCCGGTTGGATTGGGCCAAACAGTTGCATTTGTGCATTAATGGCTCTGAGGTCATGAAGCAATCTCCATTTTCCAGATTTCTTCTTGATAACAAAAATAGGAGTATTCCAAGGAGAGTTGGATCCTTCCAAATGTCCCAAATCTAATTGCTCTTTTACTAATTGATAAGCGGCCTCTAATTTCTCCTGTGAAAGTGGCCATTGAGGTACCCATATTGCCGCTTCAGTTATCCATGGTATGGGCATCCCTTCCCCAACGGCCCCTAGGAAAAACCCAATCCTGCACGATCATTTTTTGAAATGACTTGAACAGGTTCTTTAATGCCTTGATACTGTTTTCCTATCCCTAGCCCTGGTTTATATCCCTTATCTAACATCATATTTTGTGCAGAGATTGAATATTCATTCATTAATTTTAATCCTAAAGCTTTTAAAATATCTCTTCCCCCATAGATTTACCGGCAAGGGAAGAACATAGGGGGTAAACAACCCTGACTGACCTTCTGGTGCCTTCCATCTTAGGGATTTAGAGCTGATAGCAGGAGTGGCTTCATACCCTAGTCCCTACAATGAATGTTCTGATTGGGTTATTGGCTATTTTGAAGGCCACCAGGAGGTGGCAATGATGCTTTTATCAGCTCCTGTGTCCAAAATTCCCTGAAAATTCTTTCCTTCTATATTTAATGTTAATGTTGGTCTGGTATCAAGATCAACTGCAAGATAAGCAGAATCAAATTTATCTGAGTGGCCAAATCCTTCTGCCCCTCTGTTTCATTTAATGGCCCCAAAATCCTCATGACAACTAGGAAGAATAAGTAACTGTGCTATGTGATCACCCATGGAGATGGGAAAAATCCCGCGTGGTGATATGAGCACATGATCTTGAGTTGTCCCTCATAATCTTGATCTATAACTCCAGGATGGACAATTAAACCTTTTAGGATGGTAGATGACCTTCCTAGTAATAGTCCAACTGTGTTTTTTGGTAGAGGGCCTGAAAAATCAGAAGGAACAGGTTGTACACCCATTTGGGGGGTCAAGACAATTCTAGTGGTGGCACGGAGGTCCAATCCTGCAGAACCTGCAGTGGCTCTCCGTGGCTTCCTCCTTTCTAGGCTCGGGGGGGGGGGGGAGCTCGTTGCCCCATATATTTGAGGGCCCTGAGGGCGTTTTTTGGCTCAGGCAACGGTTTACTATTAACGTCTTTGACTGACTTACATTTATTTGCCCAGTGTTTGCTTGCCTTTTTTACATCGGGGACAGATTCCTGGCATCCTCTTAGGTCCTGACATGCACTCCCTACAATTCTTTTGTATATGTCCCATTT